TCATCATAGGTACACGTCAACTATGACAGACAAATTGAGAAGAAAAAATATCCAGAAAATCACATTGTAGGATTTTTAATGAATTTATTTGCAAATTATGGTGGAAAATAAGTATTTGGTCACCTACAAACAAGCAAGATTTCTGTCTCTCACAGACCTGTAACTTCTTCTTTAAGAGGCTCCTCTGTCCTCCACTTGTTACCTGTATTAATGGCACCTGTTTGAACTTGTTATCAGTATAAAAGACACCTGTCCACAACCTCAAACAGTCACACTCCAAACTCCACTTTGGCCAAGACCAAAGAGCTGTCAAAGGACACCAGAAACAAAATTGTAGACCTGCACCAGGCTGGGAAGACTGAATCTGCAATAGGTAAGCAGCTTGGTTTGAAGAAATCAACTGTGGGAGCAATTATTAGGAAATGGAAGACATACAAGACCACTGATAATCTCCCTCGATCTGGGGCTCCACGCAAGATCTCACCCCGTGGGGTCAAAATGATCACAAGAACGGTGAGCAAAAATCCCAGAACCACACGGGGGGACCTAGTGAATGACCTGCAGAGAGCTGGGACCAAAGTAACAAAGCCTACCATCAGTAACACACTACGCCGCCAGGGACTCAAATCCTGCAGTGCCAGACGTGTCCCCCTGCTTAAGCCAGTACATGTCCAGGCCCATCTGAAGTTTGCTAGAGTGCATTTGGATGATCCAGAAGAGGACTGGGAGAATGTCATATGGTCAGATGAAACCAAAATATAACTTTTTGGTAAAAACTCAACTCGTCGTGTTTGGAGGACAAAGAATGCTGAGTTGCATCCAAAGAACACCATACCTACTGTGAAGCATGGGGGTGGAAACATCATGCTTTGGGGCTGTTTTTCTGCAAAGGGACCAGGACGACTGATCCGTGTAAAGGAAAGAATGAATGGGGCCATGTATCGTGAGATATTGAGTGAAAACCTCCTTCCATCAGCAAGGGCATTGAAGATGAAACGTGGCTGGGTCTTTCAGCATGACAATGATCCCAAACACACCACCCGGGCAACGAAGGAGTGGCTTCGTAAGAAGCATTTCAAGGTACTGGAGTGGCCTAGCCAGTCTCCAGATCTCAACCCCATAGAAAATCTTTGGAGGGAGTTGAAAGTCCGTGTTGCCCAGCGACAGCCCCAAAACATCACTGCTCTAGAGGAGATCTGCATGGAGGAATGGGCCAAAATACCAGCAACAGTGTGTGAAAACCTTGTGAAGACTTACAGAAAACGTTTGACCTGTGTCATTGCCAACAAAGGGTTTATAACAAAGTATTGAGAAACTTTTGTTATTGACCAAATACTTATTTTCCACCATAATTTGCAAATAAATTCATTAAAAATCCTACAATGTGATTTTCTGGATTTCTTTTTCTCATTTTGTCTGTCATAGTTGACGTGTACCTATTAAGAAAATTACAGGCCTCTCTCATCTTTTTAAGTGGGAGAACTTGCACAATTGGTGGTTGACTAAATTACTTTTTTTTCCCCACTGTATGCAAGTCGCTCTGGATAAGAGTGTCTGCTAAATGACTCAAATGTAAATGTAAGTCATATGAAGGCTGATGAGAGTCTTAGTGCACTGTGCTGTGCATCGAGTTCAAGTGTCTGTTGTGAGGTTGCTGAGAAATCTAAACTCTCCACGTACAAGTACAAGCGAGTTGAGCGGCAACGAGTGGACTGGAGCTCCGTCTACATCGAGTCGCTGTCAGTCGATACTTGTAAAAAATGTAGAACCTTAAACCCTTACTGTGTACCTACAGTGAGGGGAAAAAAGTATTTGATCCCCTGCTGATTTTGTACGTTTGCCCACTGACAAAGACATGATCATTCAATAATTTTTAATGGTAGGTTTATTTGAACAGTGAGAGACAGAATAACAACAACAAAAATCCAGAAAAACGCATGTCCAAAAATGTTATAAATTGATTTGCATTTTAATGAGGGAAATAATTGTTTGACCCCTCTGCAAAACATGACTTAGTACTTGTTGGCAATCACAGAGGTCAGACGTTTCTTGTAGTTGGCCACCAGGTTTGCACACATCTCAGGAGGGATTTTGTTCCACTCCTCTTTGCAGATCTTCTCCAAGTCATTAAGGTTTTGAGGCTGACGTTTGGCAATTCGAACCTTCAGCTCCCTCCACAGATTTTCTATAGGATTAAGGTCTGGAGACTGGCTAGGCCACTCCAGGACCTTAATGTGCTTCTTCTTGAGCCACTCCTTTGTTTCCTTGGCCGTGTTTTGGGTCATTGTCATGCTGGAATACCCATCCACGACCCATTTTCAATGCCCTGGCTGAGGGAAGGAGGTTCTCACCCAAGATTTGACGGTACATGGCCCCCTCCATCGTCCCTTTGATGCGGTGAAGTTGTCCTGTCCCCTTAGCAATAAAACACCCCGAAAGCATAATGTTTCCACCTCCATGTTTGACGGTGGGGATGGTGTTCTTGGGGTCAGAGGCAGCATTCCTCCTCCTCCAAACACGGCGAGTTGAGTTGATGCCAAAGAGCTCGATTTTGGTCTCATCTGACCACAACACTTTCACCCACTTCTCCTCTGAATCATTCAGATGTTCATTGGCAAACTTCAGACGGGCCTGTATATGTGCTTTCTTGAGCAGGGGGACCTTGCGGGTGCTGCAGGATTTCAGTCCTTCACGGCGTAGTGTGTTACCAATTGTTTTCTTGGTGACTGTGGTCCCAGCTGCCTTGAGATCATTGACAAGATCCTCCCGTGTAGTTCTGGGCTGATTCCTCACCGTTCTCATGATCATTGCAACTCCACGAGGTAAGATCTTGCATGGAGCCCCAGGCCGAGGGAGATTGACAGTTATTTTGTGTTTCTTCCATTTGCGAATAATCGCACCAACTGTTGTCACCTTCTCACCAAGCTGCTTGGCGATGGTCTTGTAGCCCATTCCAGCCTTGTGTAGGTCTACAATCTTGTCCCTGACATCCTTGGAGAGCTCTTTGGTCTTGGCCATGGTGGAGAGTTTGGAATCTGATTGATTGATTGCTTCTGTGGACAGGTGTCTTTTTATACAGTTAACAAACTGAGATTAGGAGCACTTCCTTTAAGAGTGTGCTCCTAATCTCAGCTCGTTACCTGTATAAAAGACACCTGGGAGCCAGAAATCTTTCTGATTGAGAGGGGGTCAAATACTTATTTCCCTCATTAAAATGCAAATTAATTTATAACATTTTTGACATGTGTTTGTCTGGATTTTTTTGTTGTTATTCTGTCTCTCACGGTTCAAATAAACCTACCATTAAATAGGTAATTTCTTTGTCAGTGGGCAAACGTACAAAATCAGCAGGGAATCAAATACTTTTTTCCCTCACTGTATGTTTGTCCTGTTTAAAGTTGGGCTTGTCTTTGTTTGCTGAAATCCATACTTTTTTAAAATAAAACTTTAGTCAAATATAACCACCGACCGTTTCCTAGTTTTTGTTGCTCTCAAATGGCTCTAAAACATAGATTACCCTACGTAATCTGATATTCAGTTGGCACATGCGCTTTCGCCATTTTAGAGCAACAGAAATAAAGAAACGATCGGTGGTTGTATTTGACGAAAGTATGGATGCCCCCCAGACCACTCCAATAGACCAAAGAGAGGCTACTGTACTGGACCGTCTCATCCAAGCTACTGTGTTGGCCTCTGGGCATTTTTGAGACTGAGGGAACCCAATGAAAGGTTAGACTTTTGTCTGTCAAATGTGAAATTAAGAGACTCTCAAGCTATTGACCAGTTCAATGTGATGGTTGCAATATTACCCTGGGCGTTGGCAGCGCTTGAAAAACGTGTTAAACTCTTAATAGCCTGCGCTTACCTTTTATCAGCAGTAATATAATCAGTTGACATTTTTTATTTTATTTTATTTCACCTTTATTTAACCAGGTAAGCCAGTTGAGAACAAGTTCTCATTTACAACTGCGACCTGGCATGCTTTGTCTGCTCACACGATCAAGTCTTAGGCCTATTATCAACAGGCCTGTTATTGTGTAGCTCATTGGAGTTCCAAGGCTTGTGATCAGAGAGGGGTGTTTTGTACTAAGCAGTGTTGTAAGCAGTAAATTGTAGAACCAGACGTCTGGAAGGTTAGTTGGCTTGACACGGAGGGTTTAAGAAGCGAGTGGGTCCAATGGGATAGTGTGTCATACATTCATGTGCACACCACCCAGCTTGCGAGACGTTGCCTCTGCTGTGCTGTGGCTTGACACTGAAGCAGAATGTTTTTTTAAAAATAAAAGAGACTCCTATTACCGTTCTACTGTTACTTTGCTGCTGCTGACCAGCGACTGCTGCCGCCAACTGTAATGGAAATGAATTATTTACAAGTCACAGGCCCATATCGACCAGAGCAAGAGGAGGGGTTCCTTTACTGAAAGGCCTTGACTACAAGGACATTTCAGTTAAGCTATTTGAATGTCATCTCATGTCATATGAAAGAAGACTTTCAGTGTTTTTAATGTGCTAAGCTTTCCTTCAACAACAACTTTCGTGAGGGCATACAGCCAAATATAGGGATAGGTCATAGCCTTTATAGTGGTAATGTTAATTTGACCTTATAACCTAATTATTCTGTATGAACCTAGGTGTTTTCTCTCACTCCTTCTCTCCTCCGGTCCCATCCCGATAGCTGCAGTAACTCCACAGTGTAGATAATGGTCCCGTGTGGCTCAGTTGGTAGAGCGTGGCACTTGCAACGCCAAGGGATGTAGGGTTCGATTCCCACAGGGGACCAGTGCAAACAAATATGAAAATGAATGCACTCACTACTGTAAGTCGCTCTGGATAAGAGCGTCTGCAAAATGACTTAAAATGTAAAATGTAATAATGATCAGGAGAAATGGTGTTGGTGATATTGGTATCTATAGCTTGTAGCCTAACATTATTAACCAAGGTGCTTTATCTGTTCCTGACAGCTGTAATAACTCCACAGTGTAGATAATGATCAGGGGGAAATGGTGCCTTGCCAGACCCACGTGATGCTGAAGTGGCAGGAGCATCTGAACAGCTCCTGGGCGGCGGAGGACAGCCAGACCGTTACGCGCCAGGGGGCTGCAGGACTCTACGCCAGGCTGCTACACAATAAGGAGGTGGTGGGGGTGGCCCAGCCCGTAATGGTAAAAGAACGTGCTCAACTCTTATCCTCTTGCATATGTGATTATAGCCTGAGTGCCAGTCTGTTTGTGCTGTCATACCAACCCCCCCCCCCCCCCTCTGTCACTCATTGTCATGTCATGTTTGGCTTGAAAATGACAGCAATGGAGTAGGCAGGAGCACAGACTGATCTGGGACCAGTTTCAATATAAGGAAGGTGTTCCTAATGTTTAGTGTACTCGGTGTATATTCAAGTATTTTGAATATACTCGGTTGCAATTGAAGGTTTGTTTTAATTTCAGGACCTGATCGGCCCGCGCCTGCCAGACTTCCAGTACGAGTCCAGTGCTGCTGAGGAGAGGGAGGAGTACCTGTCGTCGTTACTCCACAGCCAGCGCTGCCTGGCCCACCGTGTGCTGGCCCGGACCCCCTACGCCCTGGGCCTGCACCACCGCCTCGTGGTCCTCCAGCGGATCTACTACGCCCTCCACAGCAAGTACCATGACCGCTTCCGGGCCCCTGCTCCCCCTCAGGCCATGGCTAGCCAGGACAGCGGGGCCATGGAGCCTGCCTCGGAGTCCTGGCTGCCTGGAGGAGCGTCCAGAGTTAAATCAGGGACGGACGTTCTGATAGAGATGGGCGTACGGACAGGACTGAGTCTCCTCTTCGCCCTGCTGCAGCAGAACTGGCGGCACGCCCGCGAGGACCCCGGAGTGGCGCTGTGTAACGACGTGTTGGCTACCGCTTCCTCTGTCCTAGCCTCCCTGCCCCCTCTCTCTCTGGCCAACGAGAACAAGATCCCGGCGGTGGGGTTGGACTGCCTGGCCCAGGTGGCGGACTTCCTGAAGAAGACATCTGTGAGCTCTGGGAGTGGAGGTGCAGACCGGGCGGGACGCAGGCTGGCTCTGGAGCTGCTGCTGGGCCTGGCTGTGCAGAGGGGCTCCCTGAGATTTCTGCTGGAGTGGGTGGAGGTGGCCCTGGCTGCCTCTGCTGCCTCCTGTTCCTCTATAACGTCCTCCTGCTCCATGGGGTCACAGCAGTTAAAGTCAGAGGGAGGAGTAGGTTATGATCTCATCTATCAAACTCTTCTTCAAATGAGACAACACTCGGTACGTACGTTCCCTCACCTTGCCCTTCTTTTTTTCTATTCAGGCTGTATCTGTATCATCAATAACAGCAGTGCTCATGTTCTGCTATTTATATAGATGATGGATGCGTCCCAAATGGTATAGGGGCTCAGGTCAAAAGTAGTGTACTATATAGGGAATAGGGTGCCATTTGGGACACATACAATACGTATAACCCCCTAAAGTCTAAGCCTGGGGTGGGGGGGGGGGTTCTACTAAGCTATGGAATTAGTTTACAATGACCCAAGGATCATTTAGCAATTTGATTTAGAATTTTTTAGGTATATATGAAAAGATGTATACACTATCGGTCAAAAGTTTTAGAACACCTACTCATTCAAGGGTTTTTCTTTATTTTTTATTATTTTCTACATTGTAGAATAATAGTGAAGACATCAAAACTATGAAATAACACATATGGACTCATGTAGTAACCAAAAAAAGTGTTAAACAAATCAAAATAATTTTATGTTTGAGACTCTTCAAATAGCCACCCTTTGCCTTGATGACAGCTTTGCACACGCTTGGCATTCTCTCAACCAGCTTCACCTGGAATGCTTTTCCAACAGTCTTGAAGGAGTTCCCACATATGCTGAGCACTTGTTGGCTGCTTTTCCTTCACTCTGCGGTCCGACTCATCCCAAACCATCTCAATTTGGTTGAGGTCGGGAGATTGTGGAGGCCAGGTCATCTGATGCAGCGCTCCATCACTCTCCTTCTTGGTAAAATAGCCCTTACACAGCCTGGAGGTGTTTTGGATCATTGTCCTGTTGAAAAACAAATGATAGTCCCACTAAGCCCAAACCAGATGGGATGGAGTATCACTGCAGAATGATGTGGTAGCCATGCTGGTTAAGTGTGCCTTGAATTCTAAATAAATCACAGACAGTATCACCAGCAAATCACCCCCACACCATAACACCTCCTCCTCCGTGCTTTATGGTGGGAATACACATGCAGAGATCATCCGTTCACCCACACCACGTCTCACAAAGACACGGCAGTTGGAATCAAAAATCTCCAATTTGGACTCCAGACCAAAGGACAAATGTCCACCTGTCTAATGTCCATTGCTCTTCTTTCTTGGCCCAAGCAAGTCTCTTCTTCTTATTGGTGTCCTTTAGTAGTAGTTCTTTGCAGCAATTCGACCATGAAGGCCTGATTCACACAGTCTCCTCTGAAAAGTTTGATGTTGAGATGTGTCTGTTACTTTGGGCTGCAATTTCTGAGGCTGGTAACTCTAATGAACTTATCTTCTGCAGCAGAGGTAACTCTGGGTCTTCCATTCCTGTGGCGGTCCTCATGAGAGCCAGTTTCATCATAGCACTTGATGGTTTTTGCGACTGCACTTGAAGAAACTTTCAAAGTTCTTGAAATGTTCCGTATTGACTGACCTTCATGTCTTAAAGTAATGATGGACTGTCGTTTCTCTTTACTTATTTGAGCTGTTCTTGCCATAATATGGATTTGGTATTTTACCAAATAGGGCTATCTTCTGTATACCCCCCCCACCTTGTCACAACACAACTGATTGGCTCAAACGCATTAAGAAGGAAATAAATTCTGACTGACTTTTAAGGCACACCTGTTCGTTGAAATGCATTCCAGGTGACTACCTCATGAAGCTTGTTGAGAGAATGCCAAGAGTGTGCAAAGGGTGGCTATTTGAAGAATCTCAAATATAAAATATATTTTGATTTGTTTAACACTTTTTTTGATTACTACATGGTTCCATATGGTTCCATATGTGATATGTGATTCTACATGATTCCATATGTGTTATTTCATAGTTTTGATGTCTTCACTATTATTCTACAATGTAGAAAATAGTAAAAATAAAGAAAAACCCTTGAATGCGTAGGTGTTCTAAAACTTTTGACTGGTAGTGTATATAATAATTTGATAAAACATTAAATTTTGGCATACTGCTATTAGCCCATAGAAACACATTGAAAAACAGATTCATAGATGGAAAAACAGATTGTCAAAATTAAATCAAAAGGAGGTTTGCGTTGAAGTGTCTCTCCTATACCTGAATGATATCAGGAAATGATTTATATACAGTGCTTTCAGAAGGTATTTAGACCCCTTGACTTTTTCCACATTTTGTTATGTTACAGCCTTATTCTAAAATGGATTAAATAAAATAATATCCTCATCAATCTACAAACAATAGCCCATAATGACAAAGCAAAAACAGGTTTTTAGAAATTTTAGCAAATTTATTAAAAAATATAAATATAAATATTCAGACCCTTTGCTATGAGACTCGAAATTGAGCTCAGCTGCATCCTGTTTCCATTGATCATCCTTGAGATGTTTCTATAACTAACTAGATTGGAGTCCACCTGTGGTAAATTCAATTGATTGGACATGATTTGGAAAGGCACACACCTGTCTGTAAAAACCAAGCCATGAAGTCGAAGGAATTGTCAGTTGAGCTCCGAGACAGGATTGTGTCTTGTCACAGATCTGGGGAAGGGTACCAAAACATTTCTGCAGCTTTGAACACAGTGGCCTCCATTATTCTTAAATGGAAGAAGTTTGGAACTACCAAGACTCTTCCTAGAGCTGGCCGCCCAGCCAAACTGAGCAATCGTGGGAGAACGGCCTTGGTCAGGAAGGTGACCAAGAACCCGATGGTCACTCTGACAGAGCTCCAGAGTTCCTCTGTGGAGATAACTTTCCAGAAGGACAACCATCTCTGCAGCACTCCACCAATCAGGCCTTTGTGGTAGAGTGGCCAGACGGAAGCCGTTCCTCAGTAAAAGGCACATGACAGCCCGCTTGGAGTTTGCCAAAACGCACCTAAAGGACTCTCAGGCCATGAGAAACAAGATTCTCTGGTCTGATGAAACCAAGATTGAACTCTTTGGCCTGAATGCCAAACGTCACGTCTGGAGGACACCTGGGCAACCCATTCCCTTACGGTGAAGCATCTGCTGTAGGGATGTTTTTTCAGCGCAGGGACTGGGAACTAGTCAGATCGGGGAAAATGCAAGTACAGATGATCCTTGATGAAACCTGCTCCAGAACTAGACCTCAGATCAGGCAAGGTTCACCTCCTACAGGACAACGACCCTAGAACCCGCCATTGCACTTGGGACAATCTCTGTAGTGGCCAGCCACCCCTTGAACCCGATTGACTGTCTGGAGAGACAGTGACGCTCAGCCACGCCCCCATCCAACCTGACAGAGCTTGAGAGGATCTGCAGAGAAGAATGGAGAAACTCCCCAATACAGGTGTGCCAAGCTTGTGGCGTCATACCCAAGAAGACTCGAGGCTGTAATCGCTGCCAAATATGCTTCAACAAAGTACTGAGTAAAGGGTCTGAATACTTATGTAAATGTGATATTGAATTTTTTTATTTTTAGTACATTTGTAAGAATCTAAAACCTGTTATTGCTTTGCCATTATGGGGTATTGTGTGTAGATTGATTAAGGAAAAAACGATTTAATCCATTTTAGAATAAGGCTGTAACGGAACAAAACATGGAAATAGTCAAGGGGTCTCAATACTTCCCGAATGCACTGTTTTTTTTACTCATATTTAACCCCTTTTTTTAGGCACTAAACTACTTCCATATGAGTGTACAAAACATTAGATTTAACAAGTGGCATCAATAAGGGATCATAGCTTTCACCTGGATTCACCTGGTCAGTCTGTCATGGAAAGAGCAGGTGTTCTTAATGTTTTGTCCCCTCTGTGTGTGTATTGTGGAGGGTGTTGTGCAGCGGGTGGCAGCATAACATTTCTCCTCGTTTTTAATAATAATATGCCATTTAGCAGACGCTTTTATCCAAAGCGACTTACAGTTTTAAATCATATTAACTTTTTTCATTTGACTGTGTTTCCTGGCCTGATGCCTGGAGCTAAAAGCCTGGTCTATTCCTCAGTGTGGTGGTGCTGCCTTGACTGTCCACTTGATTTACTAGTCACTTAATCAATAGGAAATGTTCCACCAGAAAGCTTTTATGTTCTGGGTGATAAAGAACTCCACCAGTGATTTTTCAAGTGGATCTTGAAATGTAGATGGATATGACAGGGTGGTAGATGTCCCAACGGACTGGTATTGAGATATTATTTATGTGGTATTGTTTTATTGTCTTCCCAACAGACTGGTATTGCGATAAAAATAATGTGGTATTGTTTTATTGTCTTCCAAAACAGACTGGTATTGAGATTATTTCAGTGGTATTGTTTTATGGTCTTCCCAACAGACTGGTATTGAGATATTATTTCAGTGGTATTGTTTTACTGTCTTTTATATAATTGGCAGAAGGATATGAGAAGTGGTAACTGAAGGATGTCAGTTGTGAACTGTTAAGGCTTCGTTTTGTAGTAAAACAGTACCTGTACCTCTTTTTCATGGTCCTTCGAGCTGAATGGGATCAATCTTCCTTGAACACTACCCTCTAATGTTCTGTAATTGTCCTTGAACGCTACCCTCTAATGTTCTGTAATTGTCCTGGAACAGTAGCCTCTAATGTTCTGTAATTGTCCTTGAACGCTACCCTCTAATGTTCTGTTATTGTCCTTGAACACTACCTTCTAATGTTCTGTTAATGTCCTTGAACACTACCTTCTAATGTTCTGTTAATGTCCTTGAACACTACCTTCTAATGTTCTGTTTTAATTCCCTCAGGGTTTCCGTGGAGACCCTCTCAATACTCAGGCCCTGAAGAAGGATGCCGATGGACTCTGCAGTCTCTCCCACGTTGCTCTCTGCCTGTTTGAAGAGGTTGGTTGGACTAAAGCAATTAGGAATATCTGTGTTTTCTAGGTCTGGATCTGAATGATGACTGACAGCGTAAAGCTATGGCAGCACTGTATTCAAAACGGTTCAATAAACTTAATTCATCCCCCGAGGGGTTATTATTTCTGTCAGGTATACTGTAGGATACGGCTCAAAAGACAAACATACAGTAACACTTACTAAATATTTTACATCAAGCAAGACAGACTGTTTATCTGTGTTTTTTCTAGTTTACCATTGACAGATTAAAGACACTGCAGCACTTTATGTAAATGTCCTTCCTTTCCCCATCAGATCTGTAACCTGGCGTCCAACTGCCTGTGTTCGTGCAGCGCTGGCTCAGCCACCCCTGGTGGAGTGGAGAACGATGCGGTCATGGTGTATGTGTGGGGCAGCAACAGCTCTCACCAGCTGGCTGAGGGCACCTTGGAGAAGATCCTACAGCCCAAACTGGCGCAGGGCTTCAGCGACGCTCAAATGGTACGCTACGACCCATGTCTAGCCTCATTCACACTGTAGGGCCAAATAACACCCAAACCAAGCCGAGCTGTACTGGGCCTGGTGCCTGGTTACGCATCCACCATAGTTGCTGGAACTTTGCTGGAAAGGAAAAATGAAAAATATTTGAGCCTGCTCCGTACGGTTCAGGTGGGCCCTCTAGTGTGAATCAGGCATCTGTCTGACATAGTGGGCTGAAATCTGTTCTGTCAGCTCAGAGTCGTAGTATACACTTGCCAAGCGTATATTAAAAACACAGCTTCCTCTGTCTCCTTGATCAGCTCACGGAAACAGGACAATAAGTTGATTACTTGCAGCTAAAATGCATTTGAATGAATCAGAAATAATGCCATAAATGTCATGTCCAGTTTGAGATGATCAGTTCTGTTGAATGACATGTTTTCTCTTTCAACTTCTTCTTTCCTCCTTTCTAGATTGAAGCGGGCCAGTACTGCACGTTCTCTGTGTCTGCGGATGGCTCAGTGAAGGCTTGTGGGAAGGGCAGCTATGGGCGGCTGGGTCTGGGGGACTCCAACAACCAGTCCATGCCCAAGAAGCTCGTCCTGGAGCCCCCGAGGAACATGCGCAAGGTAAAAGACTCACCACAACGTTGGCCCTGTTGGGTGTTGATGAACTCTGGAGATTCAACATGTAGAATCGTTGGGAAATGTACAGAACGTGACAGTCGACGTTCTGTGGTCAGAGGCGATAGGCCACCTGCTGATTTCTGAAGTGTTTTGTTCTTTAGGTTTCCTCGTCCAAGGGCTCTGATGGCCACACCCTGGCTGTCACGGGGGAGGGAGAGGTCTTCAGCTGGGGCGACGGAGACTATGGGAAGCTGGGACATGGAAACAGTGCCACTCAGAAATACCCCAAGATAATACAAGGACCTCTGCTGGGCAAAGTAAGCCTGCGGTGGAGACTGACCCGTGCTCATTGTGTGTTAGGGTTGAAGTAGCCTCGTGGTACAAGATGTTCCCACGGGGGGGCAGTATAAAAAATATGTATTCACTAACTGTAAGTCGCTCTGGATAAGAGCGTCTGCTAAATGACTAAAATGTAAATGTAAATGTCACAACGTAGTTTCGTTTGAGAATCAGCTTGAATCGGTTTTCTGGAAACGAGGCTAGGATGAAAGCATGCATTTTTATTGAATACCCAAAAAGAAAACTACTGCCCACTTTTCATATGATTCCTCAATGTTTTCTACTTTCAGGTTGTGGTGTGTGTGTCTGCTGGCTACAGACACAGTGCTGCTGTAACCAACGATGGAGAGCTGTACACCTGGGGAGAAGGGGACTTCGGCAGACTGGGTAGAGTTCCTTTTCTTTTCATTTCAAACCTCCACTCAAAAGAACAAACATTGTATGGAATTGACACAGCAAGCCAATTAAATAACATCATCATTCGACAGACAGAGTGACTTTCAGTGACTTCTAGATGTATTGGAAAACTGCTTTAGAAATTAAATGTATGATTATAATTATCAGACAAGTAAAAGGGATGATGAACGATGACGATCTCCCTCCCTGTCACCAGGCCACAGTGACAGCCACAGTCATTACGATCTTTCTCTGTATCTCCAGGCCACAGTGACAGCCATAGTCGTAACGTGCCTACGCTGGTGAAGGACATCAGTGGCGTGGGTCAGGCGGCCTGTGGTAGTTCTCACACCATGGCTGTGGCTCAGGACGGACGCATGGTGTGGTCTTTCGGAGGGGGAGATAACGGTATGATACAGAGATGATAATGTCCTTCTGAGGGGGAGATAACGGTATGATACAGAGATGATAATGTCCTTCTGAGGGGGAGATAACGGTTTGGTACAGAGATGATAATGTCCTTCTGAGGGGGAGATAACGGTTTGGTACAGAGATGATAATGTCCTTCTGAGGGGGAGATAATGGTTTGGTACAGAGATGATAATGTCCTTCTGAGGGGGAGATAACGGTATGATACAGAGATGATAATGTCCTTCTGAGGGGGAGATAACGGTTTGGTACAGAGATGATAATGTCCTTCTGAGGGGGATATAACGGTTTTGGGACAGAGATGATAATGTCCTTCTGAGGGGGAGATAACGGTATGATACAGAGATGATAATGTCCTTCTGAGGGGGAATAACGGTTTAGTACGAGATGATAATGTCCTTCTGAGGGGGAATAACGGTATGATACAAGAGATATAATGTCCTTCTGAGGGGGAGATAACGGTATGATACAGAGATGATAATGTCCTTCTGAGGGGGAATAACGTTGATTAAGATAGAATGTCCTCTGAGGGGGATAACGGTTTGGTACCCGAGATGATAAAGTCCTTCTGAGGGGAAGATCAACGGTATGAGACAAGATGATAATGTCTTCTGAGGGGGAGATAACGGTTTGGTACAGAGATGATAAGTCCTTCGGGGGGGATAACGGTATCATACAGAGATGATAATGTCCTCTAGGATACAGAGATGATAATGTCCCTGGGCTGGTCCACTCACTTATACAGTATATGACATTTCACTTAATCTCTCCTCTAAATACCAGACACTAACAGAACACCTTATTAAAATACTCATATTTTATTTAACCTTTATTTAACTCTTAACATGCATTCTTCCTTCCTCCATTCCACACTGATCCGTCTGTCTGTTACAGTAGCTATGGTCATGGTTAGTCTGGGCGCCAAACAACAATGGCATTGGAGTAGGCAAAAGCACAAACTGATCTGGGACCAGGCTACCACGTGGTTCAGTATGTCTGATTTTGCTGTGTTTGTGTGGCAGGTAAACTGGGTCATGGGGACACTAACCGTGTGTACCGGCCCAAGGTGATCGAAGCACTGCATGGGTTCATCATCAGGAAGGTGTGTGCTGGGAGCCAGTCATCTCTGGCTCTGACCTCTGCTGGACAGGTACGGTACTGTAACATACATACATACATACAGTGGGGAGAACAAGTATTTGATACACTGCCGATTTTGCAGGTTTTCCTACTTACAAAGCATGTAGAGGTCTGTCATTTTTATCATAGGTACACTTCAACTGTGAGAGACGGAATCTAAAACAAAAATCCAGAAAATCACATTGTATAGTAATTGTTAAGTAATTAATTTGCATTTTATTACATGACATAAGTATTTGATCACCTACCAACCAGTAAGAATTCCGGCTCTCACAGACCTGTTAGTTTTTCTTTAAGAAGCCCTCCTGTTCTCCACTCATTACCTGTATTAACTGCACCTGTTTGAACTCGTTACCTGTATAAAAGACACCTGTCCACACACTCAATCAAAGACTCCAACCTCTCCACAATGGCCAAGACCAGAGAGCTGTGTAAGGACATCAGGGATAAAATTGTAGACCAGCACAAGGCTGGGATGGGCTACAGGACAATAGGCAAACAGCTTGGTGAGAAGGCAACAACTGTTGGCGCAATTATTAGAAAATGGAAGAAGTTCAAGATGACGGTCAATCACCCTCGGTCTGGGGCTCAATGCAAGATCTCACCTCATGGGGCATCAATGATCATGAGGAAGGTGAGGGATCAGCCCAGAACTACACTGCAGGACCTGGTCAATGACCTGAAGAGAGCTGGGACCACAGTTTCAAAGAAAACCATTAGTAACACACTACGCCGTCATGGATTAAAATCTTGCAGTGTACGCAAGGTCCCCCTGCTCATGCCAGCGCATGTACAGGCCCGTCTGAAGTTTGCCAATGACCATCTGGATGATCCAGAGGAGGAATGGGAGAAGGTCATGTGGTCTGATGAGACAAAAATATAGCTTTTTGGTCTAAACTCCACTCACCGTGTTTGGGGGAAGAAGAAGGATGAGTACAACCCCAAGAACACCATCCCAACTGTGAAGCATGGAGGTGGAAACATCATTCTTTGGGGATGCTTTTCTGCAAAGGGGACAGGACGACTGCACCGTATTGAGGGGAGGATGGATGGGGCCATGTATCGCGAGATCTTGGCCAACAACCTCCTTCCCTCAGTAAGAGCATTGAAGATGGGTCGTGGCTGGTTCTTCCAGCATGACAACGACCCGAAACACACAGCCAGGGCAACTAAGGAGTGGCTCCGTAAGAAGCATCTCAAGGTCCTGGAGTGGCCTAGCCAGTCTCCAGACCTGAACCCAATAGAAAATCTTTGGAGGGAGCTGAAAGTCCGTATTGCCCAGCGACAGCCCCGAAACCTGAAGGATCTGGAGAAGGTCTGTATGGAGGAGTGGGCCAAAATCCCTGCTGCAGTGTGTGCAAACCTGGTCAAGACCTACAGGAAACATATGATCTCTGTAATTGCAAACAAAGGTTTCTGTACCAAATATTAAGTTCTGCTTTTCTGATGTATCAAATAATTATGTCATGCAATAAAATGCAAATGAATTACTTAAAAATCATACAATGTGATTTTCTGGATTTTTGTCTCTCACAGTTGAAGTGTACCTATGATAAAAATTACAGACCTCTACATGCTTTGTAAGTAGGAAAACCTGCAAAATCGGCAGTGTATCAAACATTTGTTCTCCCCACTGTACATACACACACACACACACACACTAGTTCAAGTGTTCTGAACATGTTATTACTGCTTATCCTGCTACAGTATGTCAGCTTTAAACCAGCTAAATAAACACCGCACTATGTCAAATACGAACATGCATTTGACATGAACACATTCTGTCTTTATTTTCTCATGCAAAATCACAGCTAAAGGCCTCGTGGTCAGTTCGTCTACTGTTCCTGAACCCTGATCTCATTGTTCCTCCTCCTGTCCCTCTCAGGTATTTGCGTGGGGCTGTGGTTCGTGTTTGGGCTGCGGCTCCTCTGAAACCACGTCTCTGAGACCCAGGTTCATCGAAGAGCTCAGTGTGACCAAGATTATTGATATCTCCTGTGGGGACAGCCACTGTCTGGCTCTGTCCCATGGTGAGAGACGTAACAGATGGTCGTGTTTTGTAAAAAGTTCTTCATGGGTCTACAGTGACGCTGTACAATGACAGCACTAAATCAGATTTAGATTTAGCCCACTATCCAGCCTCTTCGTCATAAGGATCCAGTAAATAGAGACATAGCATGTTATAAACTTTATTATAACACATTGTAAAGCCTCATAACATAAAGTGTTACCAAAACGCATTACTTTTTTCGGATACTTGTATTAACATGAAGTTGACTTGAAGACGTTGAAAAACATTATTCTATTCCCCTTCCTCCTGTTAGAAAATGAGGTGTATGCGTGGGGGAACAATGCCATGGGGCAGTGTGGGCAGGGCCACACCTCCACACCTGTCACCAAGCCGAAGAAAGTGATTGGTCTAGAGGGAGTGTCAATTCAGCAGATCACCGCTGGCACCTCCCACAGCCTGGCCTGGACAGCTGTCCCCACTGACAGGTATGAAGGAGGACCTCATGGTCTTGTTCATTTGGACAAGTTCAAATGGTACCTCCCTGCTTCACCGTTCTCTTCCAGTGGTGCCTCCTGAACACTACCCAGAAAGAGTAACCGTTTGAATTGAAAACAGTCAAGCTAGCCATCTGTATTCAAAGCCACATCTATCCTTGTTTGATGGATGAAAAAACATAACATATTTTCCGTCTGACAGCTATTTGTCCTCTTGTCTCTGTGTTCTTCTGATCTCATCTTGGAGCTCATGCATTGCATTATTCATTGATGTGTTTATAAAATGAGTTATTCCTGGGCTGGACAGGCAGGTTGTTTGTTTCATTATTTATTTCCTTATTGAATTCTTTATTTCCTCCTGGTCTGGACAGGCAGTTGGTGGCATGGCACAGACCGTTCTGTGTGGACCTGGAGGAGAGCACTTTTACCTACCTACGCAGCTTCCTGGAGAGATACTGTGACGGGATAGGAGGAGACATGCCCCCTGCACCCTTCCCCTCCAAGAGGTAAACCAACATGCCCCCTTCACCCTTCCCCTCCAAGAGGTAAACCAATATGCCCCCTGCACCCTCCAAGAGGTAAACCAATATGCCCCTGCACCCTCCAAGAGGTAAACCAACATTCCCCCTTCACCCTTCCCCTCCAAGAGGTAAACCAACATGCCCCCTTCCCCTCCAAGAGGTAAACCAACATGCCCCCTGCACCCTTCCCCTCCAAGAGGTAAACCAATATGCCCCCTGCACCCTTCAAGAGGTAAACCAATATGCCCCCTGCACCCTCCAAGAGGTAAACCAACATGCCCCTTCAACCATACTTCTTCACAAGAGGGTAAACCAACATTCCCCTTCACCCTTCCCTCCAAGAGATGGGGAGAGGTAAAACCAAACAGGCCCCCGGCCCCCGCCAACGAGGGGACAAAGACCAACATTTGCACCCCACCCCTTGCACCCTGTCCCTCCAAGAGGTAAACCAATATGCCCCTCCTGCCCACCCCTCAAAGAGGTGCATGCGGAAAGCTTCACTTCTTAAACCAATATGCCCCTGCACCCTCCAAGAGGTAAACCAACATGCCCCCTGCAACCCTTCCCCTCCAAGAGTAAACCAATATGCCCCCTGCACCCTTCAAAGGTAAACCAATATGCCCCCTGCACCCTTTTTTACAGAGGTTGGTATGATCTATTAAAAAAATAAATGAAAAATGAAAACATTTAAAAATAAAAGGAGGCTTTGTAAAAAAAAGTCAATTTAGTAATTTGCCAAAAAATGAACAATTCCAAGACGGAAAAAAATAGAACCAATGCAACATACACACCAAGAGGTAAAACAAATGTAAGTGCCACAGTGAAACATTTCCCCTTAAAGAGGCTATAAACCAATTATGCCCCCGCCAACCCTGTCTTCTCCAAGAGAACGGTTACGGGGTAGAGGGTAAACCCAACAATTTTGCACCCCCTGCACCCTTGTCCCCTCCAAGAGGTTAAACAAGATGCCCCCTGCACCCCTCACAAGAGGGATAAACCAAACATGCCCCCTGCACCCTTCCCCTCCCAGAGGTAAAACCCAATATTGCCCCCCCCCCCCCATCGCGCTGCACACCTCCCCTGCCCCCTGCTGCACCCTTCAAGAGGGTGTAAACCAAACTGCCCACCCCACTGCACCATACAAGAGGTTTTGGTAAGGGTGTAAACCAAGTTATTTGAAACCTTCACCCTTCCCCCTCCTTCAAGAGTATTAAACCCAATATGCCCCCCTGCACCCTCCCAGAAGGTAAACCAATATGCCCCCTTCACCCTTCCCCTTCAAGAGGGTTTAACCCACTATTGCCCCGGCACCATTCCCCTCCAAGAGGTTTGGTAAGGTAAAAACATTATTCACCTGACCTCAACCAGAGGGCGGTAGTTAAATTAAACAAATGCCCCCTTCACCCTTCTGGGAAAAAGGAAAGGGGTTAAAAAAAAAGACGGAAAAAAAGGAAACACGGACAAGGTTCAAGAGGTGTTTTATAAATTTATAATTTGTTAGGTTTGGTTTTAATTGTTATAAACCAATATGCCCCCCTGCACCGTACCCTCCAAGAGGGTTAAAACCAACATGCCCACCCTTCCCCCTCCCAGAGGTGGTATAGTAAACCAACATGGCCCCCTGCCACCCTTCCCTCCAAGAGGTAAAACCAAAACATGCCCTTTCCCTCCAAGAGGTTAACCAACATGCCCCCTCACCGCTTCCCTCCAAGAGGTGAAACCAACAGCCCCTGCATCTTCCCTCAAAGAGGTAAACCAAAACAATTCTCACTCTTCTCTCTCACTCCTCGCTCCCTCAAGAACGAAACAGAGAAGAAAGAGCGAAAGAAAATAAAAAAGAGGAAAGGAGAGAAAGAAAGAAAGGAGAGAAAGAGAGAAAGAAAGAAGAGAGAAAAGAGAGAGAAAGGGGAAAGAGAAACAAGAAGAGGCAGAAGAGAGAAAAAAGAGAAAGAAAGGAACAGAAAAAGAAAGACAGAGAGGAAAGCGAGAAGAAATAAAGAAGGAAAAAACGAGAAAAAAGAAAGAAGGAGGATAAGGGAAAGAAGGAGAAAGAGAGAAAGTAGCGAAGAAGAAAGCGAGGGAAAAAGAGAGGAGGAGAGAAATCGCAGAAAAGAAAGAAAAGAAAGAGAAAAGAGAAAAGAGAGAAAGAGAGAAAGAGAGAAAGACAGAGAAAGAAAGGAAAGAGAGAAGAGAGAAAGGAAAGAAAGAAAGCGAGGAGCAAAGAAAGAAAGAGAAAGAAAGGAAACCAAAAAGAGCAAGCAAGAAAACGAAAGAAAGAAAAAGAAAGTAAAGCAAGAAAGAAAAGAACGAAAGAAAGAAAGAAACGCAAAAAGAACTGATTCAGCAAGAGAGACGAAAGGAGAGCAATGAGAGACAAGGGAGAAAGACAGAAAGAGGCGACAGTCACGAAGAGCTGCACAGACTCAAAGAAGCAGATCGCACGAAAGCGAGCCCGAAAGAGCTCACGGCGAGCTCGCTCCCTGCCCTCTATTAAAGGGAAAGGGGCACAGGTCTAGAGGACATTGCAGTGAAGAGGGAGGACAGATGGCCGAAGCGAAGGACAGGGAGGCAGTGACGGAGAGAATAAAGCATATAGCCGCGGCAGCGGAGAGAGCAGGGAGGGGAGGCGAGAGACGAGAGGCCAACCCTGAGAGCGAAGAGAGAAGAGAGGGCGCCGGCGAGGAGACGAGCGCGAGAAGCGAGAACGCGGGAGAAGAGAGGAGCGAGAGCCGAGCGCGAGAGAGCGTAAAGAAGAGAGAGAATGAGCGAAAAGTAGGGTGTAGAGACGGAGAGAGATGAAGACCGGCTTAGCGAGAGAGGGTCGAGAGAGAGAGAGAAAGATAAGAGAGGCAGAGATAGAGAGAAAAGAGGTAGGAGATAGAGAGAGAGGAGAGGAGAGGAGAGAAGAAGAGAGAGCAGTAAGAGGAGAGAGAGAGGAAAAGAGGGAGGAGAGAGAGAAGGAAGAGAGATGAGAGAGAAGAGAGAGAAAAGAGTGGTGAGAAGAGAGAATAGAGAGTAGAAGAATAGAGAGATAGAGAGATAGAGATGAGAATGAGAGAAGAGTGGCTATAGAAATCTATATAGAAGACAAGATTGGAAAAAGATGAATAGATGAGAGAGATATAATATAGAGATGAGAGAGGATAGATATGAGATAGAGATAGAGATTTAGGAGAGTAGAGCGAGATAGTTAATATATATATATAATATATATATAAGGGAAGAGAGAAAGAAAGGCACAAAAAGAGAAGCGTAGAGGAAAAGGCAGAAGATAGCATAGACAGGCAAGCCACACAGTTTGTTTTGCTGTGTATGAAGCTGCTGTCCATCCACCTCTCTCTAGCCCACGCTGGGGGCACAGGGGCCACAGTACTAGGGGCCCAAGGGAGGCCCCTCCGAAACCTGCTCTTCAGGCTCATAGACTCCAGTGTACCTGAATCCATACAACAGGTACAGCAAACACGATTGATGTCACCATATCAAGCATACCTTAATAAAGACACCTTAGCTAGATTTGTGAAAGAAGTAACTAAAATGGTAGTAATTATAATAACCTTTCCACTAGACTCATTAGAACTACTAATGCAATTGTTTGCAGGCATTCATTTTGTGTCTGAATGCAGGGTCTACTATTTTCTGTTATATTTATCCCCAGAGGTCCTCAGACAGTGCTGAACTATCACTAAGTTGTGTGTGTGTGTGTGTGTGGTGTGTGTGTGTGTGTGTGTGTGTGTGTGTGTGTCCGCGCTCTCCCCAGGCGGTGATGAACACTCTGTCCATCGGAGCGTCTCTGCTGTTGCCCCCCCTCAGGGAGAGAACGGAACTGCTCCACTCACTGCTACCTCAGGGCCCAGAGAGCTGGGAGGGCCTCTCTAAAGGACAGGTAACTAAACAAACCTAGCCTAGCCTGCTGCTACCTCAGGGCCCAGAGAGCTGGGAGAGCCTCTCTAAAGGACAGGTAACTAAACAAACCTAGCCTAGCCTGCTGCTACCTCAGGGCCCAGAGAGCTGGGAGGGCCTCTCTAAAGGACAGGTAACTAAACAAACTACACCTAGCCTAATACTTCATGTCCTCTCTCCCTCTCCCCCCCCAGCGTCTGCAGTTGGACATGGTTCTGAACAGCCTCCAGGAGCAGTCCCACGTGGCCTCCCTGCTGGGGTACTCCTCTCCTGGGGAGCTGACTGCTGGGCCTCCCCTGGCCCTGACCTCCAGCCCTGACCGGCCCAGTCCCAACCCAGAGGCCCTCCACGACCACCTCCACCTGGCTGAGATGCTGCTTAAGACCCTGATGCTCAGCATTGGATTCTACACGGTACGGCTGGCAGGGAGGGGGTTATATACTGTATTAACACATGAAACCTTGGTTGTGAGATTGATTCAATTGTTTGTTGACCATCACAAGTATGCTGGAGTTTTCCCCTTTTTTATGAATGTTTATTTTCTCCATACACCTGGAAACATGATAGGTGTGCCTAAAAACAAAAAAACACCATGTCTCCACCTTCTCATCTTAACATAATGTGTCAGCAAAAGTGTAATACGTGGTTGTAACTGGAGCTAGCTAATAATGCGTGCCCTGCAGGAGAGGGCGTTTGGTGAGCTGGAGAAGAACAGTGACAAGCAGCAGTCCAGCCGGTCCCAGAGACAGACAGAACCTCCCTCTCACTTCCACCACCTCCTGTCAGCCCTGCACAAACACCTGCTGGCCCATTGTTACAGCTATACCAACACAGAGGTACTGGTCCATTGTTACAGCTATACCAACACAGAGGTACTGGTCCATTGTTACAGCTATACCAACACAGTGGTACTGGTCCATTGTTACAGCTATACCAACACAGAGGTACTGGTCCATTGTTACAGCTATACCAACACAGAAGTACTGGTCCATTGTTACAGCTATACCAACACAGAGGTACTGGTCCATGTTACAGCTATACCAACACAGAGGTACTGGTCCATTGTTACAGCTATACCAACACAGAGGTACTGGTCCATTGTTACAGCTATACCAACACAGAGGTACTGGTCCATTGTTACAGCTATACCAACACAGAGGTACTGGTCCATTGTTACAGCTATACCAACACAGTGGTACTGTCCATTGTTACAGCCATACCAACACAGTGGTACTGGTCCATTGTTACAGCTATACCAACACAGAGGTACTGGTCCATTGTTACAGCTATACCAACACAGAGGTACTGGTCCATTGTTTACAAGCTATACCAACACAGAGGTACTGGTCCATTGTTACAGCTATACCAAACACAGAGGGTACTGGTCCATTGTTACAGCTATACCAACACAGAGGTACTGGTCCATTGTTACAGCTTACCAACACAGAGGTACTGGTCATTGTTACAGTCTATACCAAACACAGAGGTACTGGTCCATTGTTACAGCTATACCAACACAGAGGTATGGTCCATTGTTACAGCTATACAACACAGTGGTACTGTTCCATGTTACAGCCCATACCAACACATGGTACTGGTCCATTGTTACAGCTATACCAACACAGAGGTACTGGTCCATTGTTACAGCTATACCAACACAGTGGTACTGGTCCATTGTTACAGCTATACCAACACAGAGGTACTGGTCCATTGTTACAGCTACACCAACACAGAGGTACTGGTCCATTGTTACAGCTATACCAACACAGTGGTACTGGTCCATTGTTACAGCTATACCAACACAGAGGTACTGGTCCATTGTTACAGCTATACCAACACAGAGGTACTGGTCCATTGTTACAGCTATACCAACACAGAGGTACTGGTCCATTGTTACAGCTATACCAACACAGAGGTACTGGTCCATTGTTACAGCTATACCAACACAGTGGTACTGGTCCATTGTTACAGCTATACCAACACAGAGGTACTGGTCCATTGTTACAGCTATACCAACACAGAGGTACTGGTCCATTGTTACAGCTATACCAACACAGAGGTACTGGTCCATTGTTACAGCTATACCAACACAGAGGTACTGGTCCATTGTTACAGCTATACCAACACAGAGGTACTGGTCCATTGTTACAGCTATACCAACACAGTGGAACTGTAACACACATTATACTTACCTACTACTATACATGGTTAGATTTTTCTTTAGTTTGACATTCTACAGATTTAGCGTGAGAGACGTTGTTGCTGTATCGTGGTGCCATCTTGGAAAAGTGGCATAGTTATATAATATATTATTGTATTATAAAAAGAGTGTGCGAGGTGCTGTGAGGCACTCAATTCCTTATTCCGCCTATCTACCCCTTCTAGGATGACAGCAGTGTGATGTTGCTCCACAAACACCTATGCCTGCTGCTGCCCTACACTGCCGAGACCTTCAGGAGGTCCACCGTCTTACTGGAGGAGAGCTCTCTGGACAAGCACGTCATCCACAAGCTACACAGTAAGACAACGATGCTTTATCCTGCGATGTCTTTTATGCACAAATCATCACCGGTATAGGCCTACACTACACTTATACATCTGCACGTGGAACAGAAGCACGTAATCCAGAAGCTTCAGAGTAGGAGGTCGATGCCTTATACCCCCACGTTTTACGCATTAAGCACAGATATAGCAACATTATGCCTGTAGTATGCTATGTGGTGTAATAGAAATGCTGGAAGAACGTTCCGGACGCCAACTAATTCCCTTCCATAATGTTTCATGCTGACGCGTTTCAGAGCAAGTTCCTTTTTGTCAGAGCACTATGGCAACCGTTTCAGAATGTTATACACATCCACATAACACTCTTTCCCTCATTTGCATAATTACGACACCATGCTGGTGTCCAGGGTCACTCAGTCAGAACACTGTACCTCCTCCAAGTGAGGAAGACTCAGCACTGACTGACTCAGTGTGGTTTTAATAATGCTGCTGTGACCAGGGTCATGTTACTGTAGCGCTCTGCTCCACTCAATACATGCAGCTTTTCAGGATTTACCCAACACTAGGCAGCTATTGTACACGACAAGGGCTGTTGCGGTGACCGTATTACCGCTACACCGGCGGTCACGAGGAATGACCGCAGTAAAATACCGTTGAGTCACGGTAATCTCCGGTTATGCACTCTGGATATCCGTTTTGTAGTACCCGACTCGCTAATGGTCCTCGGGTCGCTACTAGCCTTTTACTCAGCCCTCTGTTGTCCCTCTAACCACTCTGACATCCATGCAAATGCAAATCGAAAATCACATCGAACACTGTATGTGCTTTCTAAACACCTCACTGTGATTTTATCAATTTGAAGAAAGAAGTTCAACAACCGGTGGAAACTGATTTGGAAGGCATTATCGTTGTGGATGTTGTTTCAAAGCCTAACACAACGAAATGGACGCTTTCTATGGGGATTATTTAATTCAAAACACCCATATGACTTATTATCGCTTATGCATACGCATAGCCCTATATGTGAGCCCAAGCCCGAAAATAAAGAAACCAAATTAAAATAATGATTGTGCTGTTATACAATACATAGTCTACTGCATATTACACAAGGCAGAGAAACATTTTTAAAATACTGATTTAAGATATCTTTGGTACATAATTGGTCTATCCTAAATTAAACAAATTCAGTTAGCCTACAATTATAGTGAATTTGTATTTGATTTTGAATAGCCTAGTAATAGGGCATAAAAAAAAAAAAATCATAATTAATAGGCTGACATTACCTTTAGTTACAGAATATCTCACCACCGTGCGTTTCCATCTCCTCTCTCTCCTTCCTTCCTTTCTCCAGCGTGCAGAGAAGCGGGGCTGTCAACAGTTTAATTAAATATGTTTTTCTTTTACGAAAACTATTGATGTTCCCAAACAGATTTCACTTGGTTTCCCAAATTTAAGCACTGGGTAGCTTCAGGGACAGGGTTGGAGAGCCCATGGCATACCGGAGTACCCTACAGTACCTCAATATGAGTGAAACAACCAGAGAGGTGACCCGGAGGGAAAGTGGCCTCCATTCGCTATTGGAGTGCATACGGATGACATGTCTTTTTCCTCTTGCCCATGTTCCTGCCCATTTTTTAAAATCTAAACAAATTTTAACAGATTAGTAAAGACGAGATTAAATTGAGAATGGTCTGATGGGTGAAAATATGATCACTTGATGAGAGAACAGCGTGTGCAGCCTGAGGCAAGGAACAGAGCGCAATCTTTTTTTTGCGACTTTCTCAAATCATCAATAGCCTATAGTCGCATCCTGAAGCCCAGATATGTTTTGATTTCGAAGACATTCTAGGCTTTGTATCATTCACAACTAAAGTTGCCAAATAACTCAAAATCTAGCATATAGGACCTGTTTAAATTTTTTTGCTCAACATAGCAAGTTCACTCTCGCTCAGGAACGGGAAAAATATCCTTTCTATTTTATTCTTCTTACTATAAAATCATATAATATAAAATAATGCCACAGGACTTATAAGCATATCTTGACTGGTGTTACGGTAATACAGTCAACAGCCCTAAATACAACCATCTTTTTCCTCATTTGTGTTACTCAACTGTAGACGTAGGGGCCTTGACGTGCTACGTAAGCTGACAAAGCTCTTCTGAATCTCCCCCCTCCTCTCCATCCTCCCCCAGCGGTGCTCCTGAGCTCTGTAGCAGGCAGCCTGCTGTGCCAGGTCATTTATTCCCTGTTGCTGCTTCCCCTGTGGGTGGTACGCCCGCTGCTCACCCACCTGATCTGTCTGCTGGAGCACATCAATGAGTTCAACTGCCTGCTGCCAGACACCGCCCTGCTGGAGGAGAGGGAGCTGGAGGCAGCATGCTCAGGACCGCTGGGTAGGTGTCGACTGGAGGTAGCATGTTCAGGACCGCTAGGTAGGTGTCGACTGGAGGCAGCATGTTCAGGACCGCTGGGTAGGTGTCGACTGGAGGCAGCATGTTCAGGACTGCAGGGTAGGTGTCGACTGGAGGCAGCATGTTCAGGACCGCTGGGTAGGTGTCGACTGGAGGCAGCATGTTCAGGACCGCTGGGTAGGAAATTTAGGGGGGTAACTTCGTCCCCAGGCTGGCTAATTGCCCAAAACATGTCTGCGAACAAGATTACTAGGGGGAGACCTGTTCTGTTACTACCAGATTCAAGCCCCTGACATAATGGACCACCAGACCAGTCATGGATAGCCAATGGCATTGTTCTGTTGGGACACTGAGAGACAGGGAGAAAGATGGAGATCATTTAATAAAGAGGTGTATTAACAGAATGTCTGATTTTTAAGATAATTTGCTGCTAAGAAGTAGAAAAATGTAGCAGACTCCAGGAGCTCCTTAGTGACATGATGTTCTGGATGAATTCTGTGGTTCCAGATGAAGCAGGAAGGGCTGGGCTTAGCCACGCAGGGGTGGAGCACGACGGATGGGTGTGGCTTCTGGACCTGGAGAGATCTGTGGCGCTGGCGATTGGACGCTGCCTGGGCGGGATGCTGCAGGGACCGCCCCCATCTGTCCAAGAGAGGACATCAGAATACTGGCTGTGTAACCCTCTCCTCAGGAACGGACTGGAGATGGACTTTGAACAACTGGGTGTGATATGACACACATAGAAACAAATCACCCCATCACAGAACGTTGACCTGTATGGGAATGTCCATTCTAGTAATTATATTTCTATGACATTACACACGCCAACCATGATGACCAGCATCCGTTCAATCTTTAAAAAGATGTCAATCTAAATCTAATTCCTGGTCAAGTACAGTAGATAATCAGAAAATAAACTAGTTGTGGTGTTTATGCTGTATTCTTTGAACTTCTTACCATTGTAGCAATACCTTCAGAAGTATTGTCCCCTCAGACAGAAACTTTCAGCTAACAAGGTACAAAAAGAGATGTCAAATTAGAAAAATAAGTGTTGAATTCTTTCACAGTTTTATTGAGTGCAGCATTTCACCCTGAAGGCCTTTGTCAGGCTTTTCATTGTAATAATAAGTGCCTGTGTTATTGTGTGTCTGTCCTTGCAGACTCCGGCACAGCGTGGCTGACTGAGGCAGTGCTGCTGGGCTGTCCTGATGCCAAGCTGGCAGACCTGAGTGTGAGCGAGGACAACAGCATGCTGATGGAGCTGGCTCTAGGATCGTCTAGAGAGCCTGCCGGAGGCCTGTGGAGGAAGATGAAGGAGTATGCCATCAGCAGAGGTAGGGCTAGGAGGACACACACACGTACACAGATGCATGCACGACCACACACACACGTACACAGATTCATGCACGACCACACACACACACGTACACAGATGCATGCACGACCACACACACACACGTACACAGATTCATGCACGACCACACACGTACACAGATTCATGCACGACCACACACACACACGTACACAGATTCATGCACCACCACACACACACACGTACACAGATGCATGCACAACAACACACACACACGTACACAGATGCATGCACAACCACACACACGTACACAGATTCATGCACGACCACACACACACATACACAGATGCATGCACCACCACACACACACGCACACAGATGCGTGCACGACCACACACACACACGTACACAGATGCGTGCACGACCACACACACACACGTACACAGATTCGTGCACGACCACACACACACACACGTACACATATGTGTGCACACAGACGTACGTACACACACACACACATACGTACACACACACACACACACTGAGATGGCGCCGGAGAAGATGGCTGCCGTTTTATAGCCCTCTAACCAATTGTACTATTGTGTGTGTTCTTTCGCTTTATTTGTAATTTATTCTGTACATAATGTTTCTGCCATCGTCTCTTATAACCAAAAAGAGCTTATTGATCTCAGGACAGCGATTAATCACCTAGTATTGGACAAAGATTTTTTCTTCAACGAGTCGGACGCAAAGGATATCCTACAGACACCCGACAAGGGCCAATTCCCCGTCATTTGCAGGAGAAAGAGACGGATATATCGTGGACGTAGGTCGGGGTGCCTTGTAAGGATCCGACCTAAGATTACGGTTATCCTACCAACGGTACATTAAAAACTGTAATATCTTATGTTTCACCGAGTCGTGGCTGAATGACGACATGGACAACATACAGCTGACGGGATATACGCTACATCGGCAGGATAGAACGGCTGACTCCGGTAAGACAAGGGGTGGCGGTCTGTGTATATTTGTAAACAACAGCTGGTGCACAAAATCAAATACTAAGGAAGTCTCAAGGTTTTGCTCGCCTGAGGTAGAGTATCTTATGATAAACAATAGACAACACTATTTACCAACAGAGTTTTCGTCTATATTTTTCATAGCTGTCTATTTACCACCACAAACCAATGCTAGCATTAAGATTGCGCTCAATGAGCTGTATAGGGCCATAACTAAACAGGAAAACGCTCATCCAGAGGCAGCGCTCCTAGTGGCCGGGGACTTTAATGCAGGGAAACTTAAATCCGTTCTACCTAATTTCTACCAGCATGTTAAATGTGCAACCAGAGGAAAAAAAAACTCTAGACCACCTTTACTCCACACACAGAGACGCATACAACATTCACAAGGCCGCAGGGCCAGATGGATTACCAGGACTTGTACTCCGAGCATGTGCTGACCAACTGGCAAGTGTCTTCACCGACATTTTCAACATGTTCCTGACTGAGTCTGTAATACCAACATGTTTCAAGCAGACCACCATAGTCCCCGTGCCCAAGGACACTAAGATAACTAGCATAAATGACTACCGATCCGTAGCACTGACGTCTGTAGCCATGAAGTGCTTTGAAAGGCTGGTCATGGCTCACATCAACACCATTATCCCAGAAACCCTAGACCCACTCCAATTTGCATACCGCCCCAACAGATCCACAGATGATGCAATCTCTATTGCACTCCACACTGCCCTTTCCCACCTGGAAAAGAGGAACACCTACGTGAGAATGCTATTCATTGACTACAGCTCATCATTCAACACCATAGTGCCCTCAAAGCTCATCACTAACCTAAGGATCTTGGGACTAAACACCTCCCTCTGCAACTGGATCCTGGACTTCCTGAAGGGCCGCCCCAGGTGGTAAGGGTAGCTAACAACACATCTGCCACGCTGATCCTCAACACGGGGGCCCCTCAGGGGTGCGTGCTCAGTCCCCTCCTGTACTCCCTGTTCACCCATGACTGCATGGCCAGGCACGACTCCAACACCATCATTAAGTTTGCCGACGACACAACAGTGGTAGGCCTGATCACCGACAACGATGAGACAACCTATAGGGAGGAGGTCATAGACCTGGCCGTGTGGTGCCAGGATAACAACCTCTCCCTCAACGTGATCAAGACAAAGGAGATGATTGTGGACTACAGGAAAAAAAAGAGGACTGCGCATGCCCCCATTCTCATCGACGGGGCTGTAGTGGAACAGGTTGAGAGCTTCAAGTTCCTTGGTGTCCACATCACCAATAAACTATCATGGTCCAAACACACCAAGACAGTTGTGACGAGGGCACGACAAAACCTATTCCCCCTCAGGAGACTGAAAAGATTTGGCATGGGTCCTCAGGTCCTCAAAAAGTTATACAGCTGTACCATCGAGAGCATCCTGACTGGTTGCATCACTGCCTGGTATGACAACTGCTCGGCCTCCGACCGCAAGGTACTACAGGGGGTAGTGCGTACAGCCCAGTACATCACTGGGGCCAAGCTTCCTGCCATCCGGGACCTCTATACCAGGCGGTGTCAGAGGAAGACCCTCAAAATTGTCAAAGACTCCAGCCACCCTAGTCATAGACTGTTCTCTCTGCTACCGCACGGCAAGCGGTACTGGAGCGCCAAGTCTAGGTCCAAAAGACTTCTCAACAGCTTCTACCCCCAAGCCATAAGACTCCTGAACAGCTAATCATGGCTACCCGGACTATTTGCACTGCCCACCCCCACCCCATCTTTTTACGCTGCTGCTACTCTGTTAATTATTTATGCATAGTCACTTTAACTCTACCCACATATACATATTACCTCAACTACCTCAACTAGCCGGTGCCCCCGCACATTGACTCTGCACCGGTACCCCCCTGTATATAGCCTCCCTACTGTTATTTTATTTGACTTCTGCTCTTTTTTTCACAACACTTTTTTTGTTGTTGTTTTATTTTCATTTTTTAAAAAGAAATAAATGCATTGTTGGTCAAGGGCTGTAAGTAAGCATTTCACGGTAATGTCTACACCTGTTGTATTCGGCGCATGTGGCAAATAAAATGTGATTTGATACACACACAGCAACACTGTTACAGCCTTTGTGGGTGATAATGAATTCAGTGACTGTGAGGGGCTATTCATAAAGTGTGTTGTTTCCAGTGGAAGGGTGTTTTGTCAGATCATAAAAGCAGCATATATTGTCTACAGTATCTTGTTCTTGGCATCATCATCATTATTTTAGAGTTATCCTGAATGAATATGATGCATACATCACCATCAACCACCTTTTGTAGGTCATTTGTGGTGATGTGTTTTGAATAAACCATTCTGTCTTGTGTTATCTTTGGCAGACTGGGATAACAGCGGTCCCTCAGGTGATTCCCTGTTAGAGACGGCATGTCGCAGCAGCCTGGCTGCTCTCTTCAAACACACGGGGCTGCAGGATGAGGCCTACTGGCAGGACAAGTGAGTGGAGCTGCATAAAAAAAGCTGTTGTGATACGATTTTCAAATACAGAGATACAAGTTATTCTTAAAGGGAGACTGTGGAATTTTGGCAATGAGGCCATGTATCTACTTCCCCAGGGTCAGATGAACTCGTGGATACCATTTTTATATGTCTGCGTGCAGTTTTGAAGGAAGTTGCTAACTCACACTAGCGCAGTTGCTAGCTAACGTTAGCACAATGACTGGAAGTCTATGGGTATCTGCCAGCATGGTAGTAGATACGCATAGACTTCCAGTCATTGCGCTAATGCTAGTTAGCATTGGCTCACGAAACTACCTCTATTTTCCTTCCTACTGGACACAGAGACATAAAAATGGTATCCATGAGTTCATCTGACTGTGGGGAAGTAGACAAAGGGCATAATTGCCAAAATCTCGAAGTATCCCTTTAATTCTCAAGTACTGAAACCCCACATTTTACCAATTTCTGACTTCCATTCAATCTGTGGCTGGATGTTTTTTATTAGATGTATCCAATGTGGGTCTCTAGAGCAGATGAAATGGCTCCAGTCCTGCAACGTGTAGTGTGTGTGCCAGGGGAATGATGGTGTATCATGATGTAATACCTGTTCTCCTTGTCAGGTACGAGCCATGTGAGATGCTGATAGAGATCTATGAGATGGTGTATAAGATCAGGAGTGCTCTGCTGGCACACAAAGACTCTCCAGCCAACACACAGGCCCTGGCTAACAGTAAACAGGTAGGAGGACTACAGCCAACACACAGGCCCTGGCTAACAGTAAACAGGTAGAAGGACTACAGCCAACACACAGGCCCTGGTTAACAGTAACATCTCTCTAATGTAACGGTCTCATTCTCTCTCTAATGTAACGGTCTCATTCTCTCTCTAATGTAACGGTCTCATTCTCTCTCTAATGTAACGGTCTCATTCTCTCTCTAATGTAACGGTCTCATTCTCTCTCTAATGTAACGGTCTCATTCTCTCTCTAATGTAACGGTCTCATTCTCTCTCTAATGTAACGGTCTCATTCTCTCTAATGTAACTGTCTCATTCTCTCTCTAATGTAACTGTCTCATTCTCTCTCTAATGTAACTGTCTCATTCTCTCTCTAATGTAACGGTCTCATTCTCTCTCTAATGTAACTGTCTGTCTCCTCTATTCCAGAGTCCCAGTGGGCAGGAACCGGGTCCCTCTGGTAGGGAGCAGCAGGCGGACCGAGGGAAGGACCAGGACCCTGAGCTGGGGGGTCACAGTGGAGGTCACGGTGGAGGTCACATGAGTCACCAGGGAGGGCAGGTCCTCCCCACGGCTGCAGAACACAACCAGGAGGAGGGGCCAGAGGAGGACACGCCCAGCATCAGCAGTATGTACCTGCCGGGTAAACTGGGCCACGTCCTTGGTCCTTGTATTTCACATGATGTTTCTGAGGTATAGTACACGCACATTCTCCCACCTAAATCTCACCTGCCCACCCCTCCTTGTCCAACAGAGGTCCTCCAGTGTTTCCTGGCCACGCGGGAGGCCATGCAGCTGCAGCAGAATGAGACTGTCTACGAGTCTTCCGGGACCTCCACCCTCCCCAGCAGCACAGAGAGCCCCGGCACCCCAGAAAGAGAGCCCCCTAACAGGCAGGGCTGGGAGCGACGGAGAGGGTCCGAGGAGGGCATGTCATTCCCTGCAGCCTGCCACCTGGTGGTCTCCCGCTGTGTGTTCCTCCTCCTCGGGGTCCGGCCCGCATGGCAAGAACAGAGTGAAGAGACAGGGCAGGCGGAGAGCACTGGAGCCAGGTGAGTGGGTCTGTGGAAGGGGGGGGAAGGAGTCAGGGGTGGGTGTGTCGTGGGTGGGGTTGTGGGTTTGGGCATGGTGAAGAGACAGGGCAGGCGGAGAGCACTGGAGCCAGGTGAGTGGGTCTGTGGAAGGGGGGGGGGAAGGAGTCAGGGGTGTGGGTCTGTGGAAGGGGGGGGAAGGAGTCAGGGGTGTGTGTGTCGTGGGTGGGGTTGTGGGTTTGGGCATGGTGAAGAGACAGGGCAGGCGGAGAGCACTGGAGCCAGGTGAGTGGGTCTGTGGAAGGGGGGGAAGGAGTCAGGGGTGTGTGTGTCATGGGTGGGGTTGTGGGTTTGGGCATTGGTTTCAATATGTGCGTGCGTATATTTCAATACATTAACCCTAGTATTCATTGTTTTATGAATCTACTATAAATGTCTGGTCTGCTCTCTACAGAAAATCAGCTTCATCTACAGATTCTCTACTCAGCCCAAACACAGAACAAAGCAGATTCACCATGGGCGGTAGAAAACCGTCTGCAGGCCAGTCCAGAAACTCCTTCAAGAATAAATTGGGTACTAAATGACTCACTGAATATGATCTAACTACCAATCCAGGAACTCCACAGTCACACACACAACCCATCTCAGCAATTCCCAAATGATATCACACAATGGAAGACAGAATGAGAGGTTTCTGTAAAGCACTTTGTTACAACTGATGACGTAGAATGGGCTTTATAACGACATTTTTTGATTGATTTGATGGACGGAGAGGTCAACTATGACCCCTGACCTCTGACCCTCCATCCGCCCTCCCTCAGGTCTACCACTGTGTTCCCTGGGCATCATGAAGGATGCGTGGGAGCGGTTATGCCAGTGCATTAGCCCCACCACCAGCTCCATGTGCCAGGGCGGGGCGGGCAGCTCGCCCAGCGTGCTCAGCCAGGTCTTTCACTTCCTGTGTGGGAGCCTGCTCCGTCCGACCCCCCCCTCTTCGGTACTGGAGAGAGAGGCAGGCAGCCAGGCAGACCCCAAGGCCATCACACTGGCCATGTACCAACAACAGCAGAGGGCAGAGGTATGCATTTATAAAATCGATACAGTTACACGTCGCAATATTATTTTTGGACAATATTATTATCGATATTTGACTGCAAGTGTCGATTTAGTAAAAATAACTACTGTAGGTAGAATTAGATGGTGCTAGTCAGCTGTACCGGCGTCAAAACACCAATATTTTTCATCCTATAGCTTGTTCTCCATCTTCTTTTTAAATAGTGAGCCAACATGTTTTCAGCACTTTTTATTTCCATGACTGTATCAAAACTCCATGTTTTCTCATGCTCTCTCTTGTTTTCTCTGCAGCAGACTTAGTGAGCAATATGTTTGGAACAAATCACAATGAATAAAATTGCAGTATCGAATCGAAATACATGTAGAATCGTGAGAATCGCAATACATATCGGTACCTAAGTATTGTGATATCATATCGTAAGGTCCCTGGCAATTCCCAGCCCAAAAAACGTCATACCTTGTTTTAGTAACTGGTTTAGTGGTGGGTCTATTCTCCCTACTACAGCATCCTAGAATCATTATCAAAGACTTGAATATAAGTATAATATTACTTCATTTTGTAAATATGTATTTATTGTTTTAACCACTTATTGAGAACGCATTCTCTTTTACTAAAACAACCTTAGTCGTCCTGGCACCCTTCTTCCAAGATGGAGGGGTTACGATAATGTTAGTAAAATACTGTGGTTCTCTATGCTCAGGTCCGTCTGGAGGCGTTGTGCCAGATCTCTTCGTTCCTGTCTGAGATGGAGGAGAAGAGTAGCGGTTCAGGTGCCTCTCCTCCCCCGCGGTTCCCTGGCTTGCTACAATCTGTTCAGCTGCAGTTCCTGTCGGGCTGCTTCGGACTGGGAACACCCATCGCAGGCTGCCAGTCTGGAGACAACGACCAGATGAACCACTACACTGTAAATTCAGTTATAGATCATCACTACACAGGGACATCCACCATAGTAGTAAATAGTCATTACTTGAAGAAACAAAAAAATAAGTTGATGCTGGTAGTATGAACAATGCATAAGCGTTAGGGAGGGGACTCATCACGTGTAGAAAAGTCAGTCGTTACTGTGTGCTGACAAGGATGAGAAGAGTCACTGGCGCGTTGTAAATACTCACTGCTGAGATCTAGTTCTGATAGGTGACAATAGTCATTTCAAGTTGAATGTGTCATTTTTTAAATGTTAGACCGATGTGTTTCTGTCCCCAGTCTGGGACCCAGTCAGCGTCTATGTGTACCCAGAGAGAGCTGCAGTCTGCTGCCCACACCCTCTACCAGCAGGTGGTCCGGGTCCTGAGACAGAAGGTCCTCCTGGAGAGGGAACAGACAGGTTGGGGTCCAAATACTATACAGCACATTTACTTTAGACTGGTTCAAGATCTGTTTGTTTTCCGTATAGCCAACTATTTTGGCCGTTGGCAAGACGGCACAAACAGATCTGGGACCTGGCGACAGTAACATGACTCCAAGGTCTGCTTCCATACATTCATATATCCATCTCTGACAGAGATTTCCCCCTTGCCTGGTCCCAGATCTGTTTGTGCTGTCTTGCCAACTCGACCAAAGGAGTTGGCGCTACAGCACAAACAGGTCTGGGATCAGGCTAGCAGTGAGTGTCCCCAGACTTTAACCCTTTTGTATTCCCTCTCTCTCAGGCTCCTACCAGCCCTTGCTGCTGGCCACAGTGTTTGCTCTGAATTTCCACTACCAGCCAGTAGATCTGGTGGTGGTCAGTAAGTGTGGCATCCTGGAGATCCTGTCATTGCTGACAGACAACACGTGTGTTCTGATGAACCAGCGCTGGCTAGCAGCCTCTGTGTCAGGACATATGCTGCTGAGTGGAGCCGTAAAACTGGCCTGTGCCCGCCTACTGCAGATACTGGCCATCGCTGCTAGGTGAGTAGACTGGACAGGGGTGAGGAAAGGAAATGGGGAAGGAACTAGGACGCTAGGGGAGAATGCTGTCGAGCTGGCCTGCATCCACCTGCTGGAGATTCTGGCCATCGCTGCTAGGTATATAGGTGCCTGGCTTAGTGCACAACAGCAGGATATATGGTATGTAGGATACCTAGAATCCCACCAGATTTATTTATTTATTACATTTTTTTAACCAGCGACCCTCTAGTTGCAGACCTGGCTTCTCTAACCTCTAGATTACCTGCTGCCTAACTGAAGTCCACCCTGTGTGTGTGTGTGTGTGTGTGTGTGTGTGTGTGTGTGTGTGTGTGTGTGTGTGTGTGTGTGTGTGTGTGTGTGTGTTTTCTGTCCCCAGTTCGTGTGAGGACTCCCTGCCTCTGGACGTGTCTCAGGCCCTAATGGATGTGATGTGTGAGCAGCTCCAGAGTCTGTTACACATGGTTCACCAGCAGGAGGCGCTGGAGAACAGGTCAGCAGAGGAAGCAGACCAGGACACCTCCACCAAGAGGATCCGGATAGAGGGTGAGGCAACGTTAGAGGGGAAAATACTTACTTTTACTTAGGCCTTTAAGTTCCATGGGTAACATAGGACATCATAGGGGGGAGATTACCTATTTGTTGCGTAGAGTAGGCCGGAAGGCTAAACTGAAAAACATGAACTGAAACTTAAGCCGATATTAAACTTGAACTCTACCAAATAAAACGATGGTGGAGCCGCAAAATAACTTCTGTGCAACGGTTTTTATTTACATAGTGATTCCGAAAGAAAAACAGTACTGCCACAAAAGTATACATTATGGGGACAGCTAAACAGTGCTGCCCCATTAACAGCTCAATGAAAAAGGTACCCTCTTGAACTGAAAGAGAGGCTCCTTTTGTAGGAGAAGCCCCTACAATCAGAACATACCAAACTCATTACAGTGGGGAAAATAAGTATTTAGTCAGCCACCAATTGTGCAAGTTCTCCCACTTAAAAAGATGAGAGAGGCCTGTAATTTTCATCATAGGTACACGTCAACTATGACAGACCAAATGAGATTTTTTTTCTCCAGAAAATCACATTTGTTATGAATTTATTTGCAAATTATGGTGGAAAATAAGTATTTGGTCAATAACAAAAGTTTCTCAGTACTTTGTTATATACCCTTTGTTGGCAATGACACAGGTCAAACGTTTTCTGTAAGTCTTCACAAGGTTTTCACACACTGTTGCTGGTATTTTGGCCCATTCCTCCATGCAGATCTCCTCTAGAGCAGTGATGTTTTGGGGCTGTCGCTGTCTGCCCCCTGCTTGTGGGGCAGACAGACTCATTAGTGATGAGGGGCAGACAGACTCATTAGTGATGAGGAGCAGACAGACTAGTGATGAGGAGCAGACAGACTCATTAGTGATGAGGAGCAGACAGACTCATTAGTGATGAGGGGCAGACAGACTCATTAGTGATGAGGGGCAGACAGACTCATTAGTGATGAGGGGCAGACAGACTCATTAGTGATGAGGGGCAGACAGACTCATTAGTGATGAGGGGCAGACAGACTAGTGATGAGGGGCAGACAGACTCATTAGTGATGAGGGGCAGACAGACTCATTAGTGATGAGGGGCAGACAGACTCATTAGTGATGAGGGGCAGACATACTCATTAGTGATGAGGAGCAGTAAGGGAGAGAGAGAACCTGACAGGTCAGTTATGACTTTAATTTGTGTGTGTTCTGAGTGTACATTTTTTTAATTCACCCTACCTTGTAAAAGTAGTCCTTAACGCCATTGTTGTAGGCCAGTATGAGCCGTTAGCTAGAGGGTGTATCTGGAGTGTACACAATGTCAGGTGTGATGAACCTTTCTCTGTAGGGATGGAGGTGGTGCGGAGCAGTAGAGTCATTGAGTCCCAGCTCGCTGACTTCCTGGTATTCCTGAGGCGTATCCTGTCGCTAAGGGTGACCAAGAGAGTCTCTGCCTTCATCAAGTGGATCGATCCACTTATGACCATCATCTCACACAAGTGCTCTTCAGGTAAGGGCTTAACGCAGTCAACAACTCCCTGTTTTCTTTATCTTTAGACTGCGGAAAATTGTAATTCAGAACATTGAGGTGATGTCTCTGCACCTGTATCACCTGTCTTTGATTTTAGAGGTTGACATTTTTAAATGTTTATAAAATATAACTATTAATCAGCTGGGTGAAATTAAAGATGTGATGTTTCCATTAGGTTCTCCACGATTTCGGAACTTGAGAACCAAACTGCTAGCCTTCCACATTCTGGAAGGTCTGTTACCGGCCTGTTCTGAACCAGCACAGATTGAACAGGTGAGACCACAGAGTATTCTACTGTCTCTGTTGTCTGTCTGAGACCACAGAGTATTCTACTGTCTCTGTTGTCTGTCTGAGACCACAGAGTATTCTACTGTCTCTGTTGTCTGTCTGAGACCACAGAGTATTCTACTGTCTCTGTTGTCTGTCTGAGACCACAGAGTATTCTACTGTCTCTGTTGTCTGTCTGAGACCACAGAGTATTCTACTGTCTCTGTTGTCTGTCTGAGACCACAGAGTATTCTACTGTCTCTGTTGTCTGTCTGAGACCACAGAGTATTCTACTGTCTCTGTTGTCTGTCTGAGACCACAGAGTATTCTACTGTCTCTGTTGTCTGTCGGAGACCATATAGTATCCAATGTATCTGTTGTCTGTCTGAGACCACAGAGTATTCTACTGTCTCTGTTGTCTGTCTGAGACCACAGAGTATTCTACTGTCTCTGTTGTCTGTCTGAGACCACAGAGTATTCTACTGTCTCTGTTGTCTGTCTGAGACCACAGATTATTCTACTGTCTCTGTTGTCTGTCTGAGACCACAGAGTATTCTACTGTCTCTGTTGTCTGTCTGAGACCACAGAGTATTCTACTGTCTCTGTTGTCTTTCTGAGACCACAGAGTATTCTACTGTCTCTGTTGACTGTCTGAGACCATAGAGTATCCAATGTCTCTGTTGTCTGTCTGAGACCACAGAGTATTCTACTGTCTCTTTTGACTGTCTGAGACCACAGAGTATTCTACTGTCTCTGTTGACTGTCTGAGACCACAGAGTATTCTACTGTCTCTGTTGTCTGTCTGAGACCACAGAGTATTCTACTGTCTCTGTTGTCTGTCTGAGACCACAGAGTATTCTACTGTCTCTGTTTTCTGTCTGAGACCACAGAGTATTCTACTGTCTCTGTTGTCTGTCTGAGACCACAGAGTATTCTACTGTCTCTGTTGACTGTCTGAGACCACAGAGTATTCTACTGTCTCTGTTGTCTGTCTGAGACCATAGAGTATCCAATGTCTCTGTTGTCTGTCTGAGACCACAGAGTATTATACTGTCTCTGTTGTCTGTCTGAGACCACAGAGTATTCTACTGTCTCTGTTGTCTGTCTGAGACCACAGAGTATTCTACTGTCTCTGTTGTCTGTCTGAGACCACAGAGTATTCTACTGTCTCTGTTGACTGTCTGAGACCACAGAGTATTATACTGTCTCTGTTGTCTGTCTGAGACCACAGAGTATTCTACTGTCTCTGTTGACTGTCTGAGACCACAGAGTATTCTACTGTCTCTGTTGTCTGTCTGAGATCACAGAGTATTCTACTGTCTCTGTTGTCTGTCTGAGAACACAGAGTATTCTACTGTCTCTGTTGTCTGTCTGTACCTGCCCGTTATAAAGAAAGGAACTTACTCACTCACTTTTTTCTCCTTTTCCACTCCCTCCCCTTTCCAGATTGTTGATCAGCTGTTCGGGCTTCTCTCTATGTGTATGTGGGAGGAGCCTTTAGCTGTGAAGAAGAACCAAGAGAAAACAGCAGAGAGCTCCAACAGGGTATTTATTCACAGTAACAATATCATGGACATTTTATGAACTTGGTGTGTTGTTTTGTTGAGTTTGAATAATGTGGTCCTGTGTGGCTCAGTTGGTAGCTATGAGCCCAAGGTCATGGGTTATGAACCTACTATAAGGTCATGGGTTATGAACCTACTATAAGGTCATGGGTTATGAACCTACTATAAGGTCATGGGTTATGAACCTACTATAAGGTCATGGGTTATGAACCTACTATAAGGTCATGGGTTATGAACCTACTATACTCTAAGTCACTTAGGATAAAAGCATATGCTAAATGGTATATCTCTTTAAGGAATACCTGGAATAGTATAAAGTAATCCTTCTTCCCCCACCCCCCATTTAAAAAAAAATATAATAAAAAAAAGTGGTTGTCTCACTGGCTATCATAAGTTGAATGCACCAATTTGTATGTCGCTCTGGATAAGAGCGTCTGCTAAATGATGTAAATTTACATGTAAATCTTCATGCTGTGTTCCAGGACCCAGGGAGTGATGATGAGTGTATTTCTATCGGAGACTTCTCCTTTGACCCCTACAAGCTGATCTGCTGCTCGCTGGAGAGTGGTAACGTGCTGTCTCACGGGTCAGGAGGGAAGGGATACGGCCTCGCCACCACAGCCATCAACTCCGGCTGCTTCATATGGAAGGTAGGGGGAGATATTAAAGTACTTTATTTAATGAGGAGAACTGTTGCACACCCAGGGACCTGAGTAAATGTTCAGGATAGTATAAGATGGATCAGGAGGGAAGGGGTATGGCCTCGCCACTCCATCACCTCAGGCTGCTTAATAATATAATAATATGCCATTTAGCAGACGCTTTTATCCAAAGCGACTTAGTCATGTGTGCATACATTTTTGTGTATGGGTGGTCCCGGGGATCGAACCCACTATCCTGGCGTTACAAGCGCCATGCTCTACCAGCTGAGCTACAGAGGACCACATGGACGGTAGACTGTCTGTACTAGATAATCAGTGTGTTTTTACGGGGATCCATTTTAGCAAGGTGAGGCACAGAATCGCTCATCTTGATCGTACTGAGTTGTAATATTTCGGATGCTTGATTTTGTAGACAAGTGATTCTGCACAGTTTGACGGCGATGACGATCTCAGACATGCACCGTGATTTAAAACATATGCTAATTTGCTAGCAAGTTAAGTTGCCTAAATCATAATCAGGAAACATTGTATCCTCCTATGCCACGTCTTCATCGCCATCCTCCAGTTCAACATCACCAAGGAGAACAAGGGGAATGAGGGCACCTGTATCGGGGTGTCTCGCTGGCCCATCCGGGACTACAACCATCGCACCACCACAGACATGTGGCTGTACCGTGCCTACAGTGGCAGCCTGTACCACGGAGGGGAGCTGGGCCGGGCCCTGCCATCCTTCACTCAGGGAGACACCATCACCTGCATCCTGGACATGGAGGCTAGGACCATCTCTTTCGCCAAGAACAACAAGGTCTGTATAATGTACAGCCTGGGGAGGAGGGGAATTCAGTTCAAAGGGCAATTATTACCATACAATATGATACTTTTATTGTCCATTTCCATGAGAATTGTTGCTGGCAGGCTTAGGATATTGGTTTGAATATCATTAAGACATGACTAAAACGGTGTCTTTTTGACAGGAGCCTAAGCTGGCTTTTGAAGGTGTGGAGGCCACAGAGTTGTACCCCTGTGTGTTATTCTACAGCAGCAACCCTGGAGAGAAGGTGTGCATCATGTCTTCAGTTGGCTCTTTTAATACAAGACGGTATCTTCAAAAATGTTTCATAGACATCTAAGTTACAAGCATACCTCTATCAGTCTGCTTTCAATGGACTAAAGTAGGACTCACCATAACCCTGCTCTACTCCTAGGTGGCGCTGTGTGACCTCCAGATGAGAGGCATGCCCAGTGACCTGCTGCCTGGTGAACCCCTGTGTTCCCCCCGCACCACAGTGCTGCTGGAGGCCACGGTTCAGCTCCTCCGCAGGCTGCACCAGTGTGACGGCTACTGGACACAACACATCAACCAGCACATGCAGAGCCGGCTGGAGCTCATAGGACCGCTCATGAAGGAGGGAGGCCTGGGGACTGTCAAACATGGTCAGCCACTGGGCGCACACACTAGTAATCTGATATATTTAGCATTTTACATTTTAGTCATTTAGCAGACGCTCTTATCCAGAGCGACTTACAGTTAGTGCATTCATCTTAAGATAGCTAGGTGGGACAACCACATATCACAGTACATTTTTCCTCAATAACGTAGCTATCAGTAGAGTAAGAGCTAGAAGGGGGGTGGGGTCAAGTGCTGGTTAAGTTAAAAAAATATATATATATAAATATATACAGTGAGGGACAAAAGTATTTGATCCCCTGCTGATTTTGTACGTTTGCTCACTGACAAAGACATGATCAGTCTATAATTTTAATGGTAGGTTTATTTGAACAGTGAGAGACAGAATAACAACAAAAAAATCCAGAAAAATGCATGTCAAACATTTTATGAATTGATTTGCATTTTAATGAGGGAAATAAGTATTTGACCCCTCTGCAAAACATGACTTAGCACTTGGTGGCAAAACCCTTGTTGGCAATCACAGAGGTCAGACGTTTCTTGTAGTTGGCCACCAGGTTTGCACACATCTCAGGAGGGATTTTGTCCCACTCCTCTTTGCAGATCTTCTCCAAGTCATTAAGGTTTCGAGGCTGATGTTTGGCAACTCGAACCTTCAGCTCCCTCCACAGATTTTCTATGGGATTAAGGTCTGGATACTGGCTAGGCCACTCCAGGACCTTAATGTGCTTCTTCTTGAGCCACTCCTTTGTTGCCTTGGCCGTGTGTTTTGGGTCATTGTCATGCTGGAATACCCATCCACAACCCATTTTCAATGCCCTGGCTGAGGGAAGGAGGTTCTCACCCAAGATTTGACGGTACATGGCCCCATCCATCGTCCCTTTGATGCGGTGTACACATGTACATATTACCTCAATTACCTCGACTAGCCTCCCTACTGTTATTTTACTGCTGCTATTTTTTACTTATCTATTTTTTACTTAACACATATTTTTCTTAAAACTGCATTGTTGGTTAATGGCTTGTAATTAAGCATTTCACTGTAAGGTCTACGCCTGTTGTATTCGGCACATGTGGCAAATAACATTTGATTTGATTTGAAGCTACAAAATAACAAAATTGGATAATCTGTAAGTAACTAGGTAAAATGAGAGAGTGGTGGGAGCCTTCCACGAACAACTCTGCAGAACCGTCTTCGTTTCGACGACACGGCTGCCGCTTATAGCGGCCGCTTAGCAACCAGGGGAGAATGAAGAACTATCACTAATTGCTAATTGCCTAGCAGAGGTGGAGAGCACACCTCATTTTACTAATTGCTGATTGCCTAGCAGAGGTGAAACCACTCCCCCTCCGATACAGCCACTGATTACCAAAACAAGTCACAAATTGCCCTGCCCCTTGATCCTGGTTGATGTGCCAACAACAATCTGCAAATTATGAGCAGTCAGCAGTTCACACACCAAATAGCCCACTGGGAAGACAGGCAGCACTTAAAGTAGATGGCCCTAGCTAGCAACAAGACAGTACTAGACAACAACAGGAAAATACAAAAAAAATAAAGGTATCCCTCCTGGAGATATCAGGAGTCCTCCAGCTATAGAATAAAGCACACTGAGATGGAGCCTGAGAAGCTATTTACATACACTCAGAAAAGAGATGAAACCACTCCCCCTCCATTACAGCCACTGATTACCAAAACAAGTCACACATTACACACCTGAATACATTCACAGAATAGAGAAAGAGCTCAAACTAACTGTAGCTATTCAGCAATGTCTGGAAGGCTAGTGGTATTTGAAGAAGGTATTACTATGCTATGATCGGGATGTGGTTGTTTTACCTACTTTAGTTGAATACACTGATTTAAGTCTCAGTGTGTTCTGCTTCAGCCTATCTCTGACTAAAATGTAAATGTAGCCTAAAATAGAAAAATATGAAAAGTAACTGTCACTATTCAACAGCATCTGGAGTTCCTTTGTCTGATTTCTTTTCTGTCCCTCTTCATCCAGCAGGCCTGAGCCCTAAAGGAGTTGCTGAAAGGGAGAAGGACAAGGAGCAGGTCGGTAGCGGTATTGGAGAGGAGTCTGTAGGCCCAGGGGACTTGGTGACGGGACCCTCAGGCCTCTCTGAGACCCAGCTGGGTGCTCTTTGCTCTGAGGTGTGGCCGGTGCTGGCCGTGATCGGAGGAGTGGACAGTGGGCTACGGGCAGGGGGGCTCTGCCTGCACAAACCCAGTGGGAGAAGGGCCACCCTGCTGGGGGTACTGAAGGAAGGAAGCCTCCTAGCCAAGCTCCAATGGGAGGAGGCTGACCTCTCTGTCAGGTATTACAGTACAGATTATATATACGCACAGAGACAAACAGATGCGTGGACACACACACTCAACTGTAGAGATTTTTTTCATGCACAGTGCTGTTTATTTCCAGATGTAACTTTTGTGATAGCAAAGCAACAATAGATGTCTTACAAGATGATTTTATCATAGGAATGCTTTTACAAGATCTGCATCAAACTGAACTGTTTCCTTAATTCATCTCTAGCCCTCTCTGTCTCCAGTTCTATCCTGTTCTGTTGTGCATGTCTGTCTGTCTGTCTGTCTCCAGTTCCATCCTGTTCTGTTGTGCATGTCTGTCTGTCTGTCTGTCTGTCTGTCTGTCTGTCTGTCTGTCTGTCTGTCTGTCTGTCTGTCTGTCTGTCTGTCTGTCTGTCTGTCTGTCTGTCTGTCTGTCTGTCTGTCTGTCTGTCTGTGCAGTTCCATCCTGTTCTGTTGTGCATGTCTGTCTGTCTGTTTATTTCTGTTCTGTTTTAATCCTGTCTTTCCCTTGGTTACCTAATTCACCCTTCTTACCTTTACTTTTTCTTCCTTTTTCTTTCCCTTCTTCATCCCCTCCCTCCCTCTCCATTTGTTTCATGTCCTGGTTCTCTCACCACTAACCAAAGCTTCCTGAATTCTTGGTCACCCAGCGACACCCCGCTCTCCTCCTTGGAGCCCTGTGACGTGCCCCAGTGTGACATCAGCAGATTCCGAGGCCTCAAACCCTCTGTCCTCTTAGACCTGATCTTCCTGACCGGCCTCCTGGAGGAGCAGGAGGAGGCCCGGGGACGAGGAGGAGGTGCAGGGAGAACCAGGAAGAGCTGCTCCTCCGAACAGGAAGAGGAGGGATGGAGCGTCCCGTGGAGCGTGCTGGAACGCAGGCTGGATGAAGACATCGCCCGCGTCATGATGGACGATGATGACATTGAAAGAGGCACAGGGCTTACAGAGGAGAGGAAAGCGAGGGAAGGAGAGAAGGAGAGGGACAGTCACCCGTCCCCAACTAGAGCTCTCTCAGAGTCCTGTGACGATCCAGAGGAGGGTAGTACCTCATCCTCCTGCCCGCCAACCCCAACCCCAACCCTACCGACCCCCACCACCCAGCAGACCAAGCCCCAGCCGGATGTCTTCTCCCTGGAGCTCCGGGCTGTGAGGGTTTCCTACCTCCTGCTGGGGGCCTTAAAGTCCCTGGCTGTCATCCTCAGCTGTGGGAAGTTGACTGACCTGCTGCTGGTGCCGAAGCATCAAGACCCCTCTACTGCTGCCAGCCTGACCAGTACCAGCCCTGACCAGGCTAAGCCAGGCTGCTCTGGTTTGAGCCCTGCCCCGGCCGGAGAAGACAGCAACGCTGCTGAAATGAGGTAGATTGATTTTGATTTTGAATTAATAATATAATACTTATATATGATTTTATATAGTGCTTTTCAAATACCCAAATATAATGAAATTACATATACAGTTAAAAAACAAGCGGTCATTTAAAAAAAACTATCAAGCATAACTCTGTCGTTGAATTCCAGTATTTCCATGATGGTGTTTCTAGGTCTGTGCTACAGTTCATGGTGAGGAGCATGGTGAAGTGGGCTGTGCGACCCTGCCCTATCAAACCGAGCGTGGCCCTGCCAGACCTGGAGAGAGCTCAGGTCATGATCTTCAAAGGAGCGCTCAGCACACTGCAGGAGGACAAAGGAGCCAAAGACAGGAAGGGTACTAGTACTGTTATTATTGAGTTATAGAAATGTCTAGAATAGACGTATAGTCCTCCGTTTTGGCCAGTCGAACATGGCTTCATATTTCTATCTGGGTTATTATGTGAAAGGTTAAGCTTTAACAAGTGGTACGCAATTCTCGTTTTTTTTTTTTGAGCTGTTCAAAATGGAAGGTGTTTTTGCAGTTTAGCTTGTTGCTGCCACTGAAGAACAGTAGGAAACAGTTTCTCTACTTTCTCCCTGTAGAGCCTGGTCACCCCTCCTCGTCCCAGCCGGTGTCCAAGTCTTCCAGCTCTGTGTCTCTCTACAGCACGGGGTCAGAGGGCACCGCCATCTTCGGCCAATCAAACGGAGCCTCTGCCTCGTCCTCCACCAATGACCTGGCTGCTTCTCTGCTCTCTGCGCTGCAGGCTGATGGCCTGGAGAACTTTAACCCTTTCCTCCCCATCAACCTCCTGCAGTGAGTACAGATCCATACATAGATTTATATTTCTATGTCAATTTATTTCTATGTTATGGTACGTTTAGTTATTAATGAAGGTTAATGTCTGAATCACAGTAGTTCTCAGTCCTTTTCAGGGCACACACACACACACACACACACACACACACACACACACACACACACACACACACACACACACACACACACACACTTTCCATTGACAGCCTGGGTTGATGATGTTCTTGCTCCAGATCCATATCAGTCGGCAGCTCGTCTGAGACGCAGAAGACTCAGAGTGGTGGTGAGTGTGTGAAATGAGCCTGTGCTCTGTCTAACCCTCCCAAGGTTTCAGCTCTGCTGCAACTCTGCCTGGCTCTAATCTAACTGCTGGCTTCCCAAAGACGAGCAGACTTACAGCACAGTTCAACTCTATGAGCCGGTTTCCTGGACATTTTCAATGGAGCAACCGGCCCTACATGTTAAATGTAACAAACGTTTTCTACCTCTGATGATGAGGCTGTGAAGATAATTGGAAGACTCTATTGTTACCATACTCCATTCTGTGGCCTCCCTCTGTCCAGGAACGTCTAGTCCTAACACACAACTCCGCTGTCTTTGTGCTAAATGCAGCCCACTACCACTGTGTTGTTGGCTTGGCTTCCTCTAGGCGGATGGTGTTAGCACGGTTCCCTACCCTGGCTGGCCTGGTTAATAACCCCCCCATGTTGCACGGTCCAGGCCCAGGCTTTGGCCTGGCCACCTCGTCTTCCTGTGAGGGCTTCACAGAGCAGCAGACCAGCTTCATGGAGCCCTGCGCTAATACTCAGTCCAGGAGCCGCGGCGCGGGTAAGAGAAACGCTTGTAGAGAAATGCATGGAAGATTGAAGGCTATTTGGCTGCGTGTAGACAGGCAGCCCAATTCTGATTATTTTTCCCAATTATTGGCTAAAGATCTGATCTGATTGGTTAAAAGACCAATTAGTGGCAAAAGATCAGAATTGATCTGCATGTGTAAACAGCCTTTTATGGTGTGCTGCCCATCTCTTTCAATAAGAGAACCAGTCACACAGCAACACGGACGATCTAGCCTGGTCCCAGATATGTGTGCAGTTGGCTATACAGCGCAGACAGGTCTGAGAGCAGGCTACAGATCAGCTCCGCTCCGTCAATAACAGGACGGGATAGATACCGTGTCGCTCACGGGGAAGTTTATGTCTGTCTGTCTGCATGTCATGGCATGTTGAATGACATGTCCAGCTAATGTTCATTACTCTAGTTATTTTTGTTATGGGGTGCTTGATTTTGACAACCAGAGCTTGTGGATTTTCTGTCATTTTGAATGGGTTTGTGAATTTGTATATGAAGAGTTGATTGATGCCTGCATGAAATCAGTTTGTCATCTACTCACATTGCTTGAATGGAACCATTTTAATTTTGTGTTGAAAATGAACAGTCATGAGTAGAACGACACGAAGCCCTCTACGTGTAAAATTCATCCAGTTCTTTCTGTATAAACCAAAGAATTTTAGGATGGTGACAATTGTTTTGGGAAAGGTGCAGCTTGCTCAATGAGTTCACACTTCCGTTGTCTGTGCTTGCCTTCAGGTCCATAGTGTACTGTTCTGCAAATCAATTTAGGGACTGCCTCTGGTAAAAACAAGTTCACTTTTTTCTTTGTAGGGACTAAAGTCCAACTGTTACTGCAGTGGTACTCACAGTGCGTTCGGAAAGTATTCAGAACCCCTTCCCGTTTTCCACATTTTGTTACGTTACAGCCTTATTCTAAAATTGCTTAAATAAATAAAAATCCTCATCAATCTACACACAATACCCCATAATGACAAAGCAAAAACAGGTTTTTGTAAATATTTGCAAATGTATTAAAAATAAAAAAAAACATAAATGCCTTATTTTACTGTATATTACTACTGCAATACTTTTGCATTTCAGCATGATAGGATGTTGTCGTTGCCTTCATTGTATGTTGACATGTTAAACATTTTACTGTCGATGACAGATTTGTTGGCTTGTTTTCCCTTTCTTTACCTTGTTTCTCCTCAATTTCTAGAACGGCCTCAAATGTTTGTCCCAGTCCGCTTACTAGAAATGGGCTTCTCTATGAGACATATCTACAAGGCCATGGAGGCAGCAGGTATTGCTGTCGCTGTGCTCTGTGTGTTTAGTGTGGTGTTTACTGTGCTCCATCCGCTTTCTGTGTTGTCGGCTAGTTTCTGCTTTTCCAGAGTTTTTTTTTTGTGTGTGTTTTTTTAGGCCTACTCCTATGGCTTTCCTCTTTGCATGCGGCCTATCGAAATGTGGCGTAGAATACACACTGGTATATTACAATCAGGGGTAGGAACTGAAATTATTTTCCAATCGTTTCGTCCTAAAAAATAACCATTATTTTTTTCCATTCCATTCCACTGTTCCGACAAGCAAAATATAAGTTCTGAACCGGTTAGAACCAAAAACAAAAGTTACGGTTAATATTTTTTCTGTTCCTTTTAAACCTCAGAAACATATTATTTTTACATTTAGCTCGACGTTAAATGACTTCACCAATCAGTGCGGGTAGAGCAGCTTGCTATGGTGCAGGCAAGCTATAGTTGTTTACATGCGTGATGGATAGAGTGTAGGGCGCGAGATGCGACTGACATTTTTCTGGTGGCGAGAAAGCGAGAGAGAGAGAGAGGGTGGAGGCTTGGCTTGAAGCGCTGGGCATCTTGTTATGACATGCATTATCTGAATTAGGCCCACATAATTATACCTACGGAGGAGCAACCTCTATGGAGGACCTTTTAAATGTCTTTGAACTTCCGAAAGTTTGCTTAATGTTGGACAAGAGCTAGCTAGCTAACAAGCTTGTGTGTGCAGAGCAGCACCAGAATTAAAAACACTTCTTAACTTTTTGTAGTTCATAAATCCAATGTGAAACGTGATAACTGTAGTATCCTTCACTAGCATTGAAAAAGTTAATGCATTCTTCGCTAATAAAAAATCTCTCTCTAATTTCTGAATCACGCTTGTACGTCAGTAGGATACAGTAGCCTATTGTTCGGAGGGGGAGGGGCAGGTAACCTGCACACACTGGCAAAGATTTTCAGCTGGCAGGCAGACACTGGAAGAAGTTTCTGAGTGACAGAGTGAGTGCTTTGCTGCGTTTTTTTGTGGACTGGAAAAATATTCCTGAAACATAAAATAACATTATTAACCGGTTCCCATGCTTTTAAAATAACGGTTCTGTTCCGGAAGAGTGTAGATCACTTTCGTTCCCGGTTCTGATTCTGTTCCTCTAAAAATGTTGTTCTTTCCTTGTTTTCGGTTTTGTTCCCTTAACAGGTTCCAACTCCTGATTACAATAGACACTAGTATATTATTATTCATAGATGTTGTTAGGCATTTAGATTATAAATCGTAAAATTACATATCGTGATTCATGAATGTAACTTTTTCAAACCAGCCAGCAAGTATGTGAAATGATAGGCTCATGGTGATACAACTGGTCATTTTCTGTTCCCTCTCCTTGGCATACTGTACCCCACTCAAATCTATCTGGCTCCTTCTCAATTAAGCCCTGTTAACCAGGTTTCTGGATTATTTGATCAAATTTTACTGTATAGTGAGAAAGGATTTTAGATATTGATATTGATTGATATACATTTCAGGTTAATTGTAAACACCACTGTTTTGTTAAACACATGAATCCGCATGTGCATGTTTTCAATACTAATTATATTTGATGCTTATCCTGAATACCTAGTCATTGAATTAGATTGAATAGGGCCCTCACTCTCTCCGCCTCTCTCACACTTTTGCTTGACTTCTTTACTCCTTTCCTAGTACTGTCGTCCATCTTCCCTATATTAGTTTGATTGAATGTACTTCCATCACAAACTTTCAAATCTAACACTGTGTGTAATGTGTCCCTTTCAAATGATTGACTTTGACTTGTCATTGCCTTTATGCAATATCCCCCTTTTTAAAAAGGGCCTGTGTCCCCTCACCTGGACTTGATCTCTTACCTCTCCTTGACCTTTGACCCCAGGTGTGGCAGGTGAGGTAGACTCGCGGACCATCGAGGTGCTGGCTAGCTGGATGTTGGAGCACCCCCTGACTCAGGAGCTGCAGATGGAGACCCAGCCAGCAGGAGGATCCACCACTGAAACCCCCTCCCCTGACGGACCGGAGACCGTCCAATGCCCCGAGGCCCCCACCAGCGAACCCAATGAAAGGTCAGACAGAACTACAGAAACAAACTTTTTGTTTTGATTCTTTTTTATTATTTATTATTTATAGTGGAGCTGTGTCGATTAATCAGCCAGGAGTTATTAAGGGTAGGAGAGCTGTGTCGATTAATCAGCCAGGAGTTATTAAGGGTAGGAGAGCTGTGTCGATTAATCAGCCAGGAGTTATTAAGGGTAGGAGAGCTGTGTCGATTAATCAGCCAGGAGTTATTAAGGGTGGGAGAGCTGTGTCGATTAATCAGCCAGGAGTTATTAAGGGTGGGAGAGCTGTGTCGATTAATCAGCCAGGAGTTATTAAGGGTGGGAGAGCTGTGTCGATTAATCAGCCAGGAGTTATTAAGGGTAGGAGAGCTGTGTCGATTAATCAGCCAGGAGTTATTAAGGGTAGGAGAGCTGTGTCGATTAATCAGCCAGGAGTTATTAAGGGTGGGAGAGCTGTGTCGATTAATCAGCCAGGAGTTATTAAGGGTGGGAGAGCTGTGTAGATTAATCAGCCAGGAGTTATTAAGGGTGGGAGAGCTGTGTCGATTAATCAGCCAGGAGTTATTAAGGGTGGGAGAGCTGTGTCGATTAATCAGCCAGGAGTTATTAAGGGTAGGAGAGCTGTGTCGATTAATCAGCCAGGAGTTATTAAGGGTGGGAGAGCTGTGTCGATTAATCAGCCAGGAGTTATTAAGGGTGGGAGAGCTGTGTCGATTATCAGCCAGGAGTTTATTAAGGGTGGGAGAGCTGTGTCGATTAATCAGCCAGGAGTTATTAAGGGTGGGGAGAGCTGTGTCGATTAATCAGCCAGGAGTTATTAAGGGTGGGAGAGCTTGTGTCGATTAATCAGCCAGGAGTTATTAAGGGTGGGAGAGCTGTGTCGATTAATCAGCCAGGAGTTATTAAGGGTGGGAGAGCTGTGTCGATTAATCAGCCAGGAGTTATTAAGGGTAGGAGAGCTGTGTCGATTAATCAGCCAGGAGTTATTAAGGGTGGGAGAGCTGTGTCGATTAATCAGCCAGGAGTTATTAAGGGTGGGAGAGCTGTGTCGATTAATCAGCCAGGAGTTATTAAGGGTGGGAGAGCTGTGTCGATTAATCAGCCAGGAGTTATTAAGGGTGGGAGAGCTGTGTCGATTAATCAGCCATAAATTCAACATACATTTATTTATTTATTAAAGAAGCATGTCAGTTTGAGAGATCAAGATTGAGAGCAACAGATTGTTTCTGTGGATAAAGATTGTGTTGGCTTGGTTGAGTTGGAAGATGAGTTACTGTTATTGTGTTGCAGTCTGCTGGCAGGCCTGGACCAGGTGGAGAGGGAGAACTTCCTAGATGTTCACCTGACCAGGAACAGGCCTCCCCCGGCCAGACGCCAGCGCTCCAGCTTGGGGCACAGAACCTCCTTTAGGAGAGCAGGTCAGCACGGCCTCCAACAGGAAGATATTTGGATAGCTGACCTGAAGCTCTCTGTCTGTGACATTGATGGGTTTCTATCTGAGGCTAAGGGGATATCATGCGGTGTCCCTCGGGGCTCAATACTAGGACCGCTACTGTTCCTGTTGTAAATTAAATGCCGGCAGCAGTGAAATGTGTACTCCTGCTGTATGCAGACAACTCTGCCTTGCTGGTGTTAGGAAAGGATTCTGGGTGGATTGAGGGGCATTAAGCAAAGTGTTGTACAATGCTTTCATATGTTATCCTGTGGGGGGCTATGTTAATATGTTATCCTGTGGGGGGCTATGTTAATATGTTATCCTGTGGGGGGCTATGTTAATATGTTATCCTGTGGGGGGCTATGTTAATATGTTATCCTCTGGGGGGCTATGTTAATATGTTATCCTGTGGGGTGCTATGTTAATATGTTATCCTCTGGGGGGCTATGTTAATATGTTATCCTGTGGGGGGGCTATGTTCATATGTTATCCTGTGGGGGGCTATCTGTCTTTTTAAGTGTAAAAAAGAAGGGGGGAAAAGACTAGTAAGAGACAGTCATTTACTGTCCATTGTGACTCTTGTTCTTGCTAACCTACTATATTTCCACCACCATCCTTTCTTCCTCCAGACTCTCCGTCCCCCAACCCCATCCCACCGCCGTACAGGCAGGACCCAGGGGTGTCTGAGTGGCCGGAGCGGGCGGAGACGCACCCCTTCGCTGCTGAGGAGGAGTCAGAGTTGGGGTACATGGATGACCCCTACCATGAAGAGCCCTACGACGAGCTACAGTTTAGAGAGTTCATCAGCTCAGAGAGAGACACCCTCTGGATGGTCGAGGTACTACATCACATTTCACAATCACAGAGCCTGGAAAGATATATAAGCGCGATGACGTTTAGGTTAAAAACATGACGTTTCGGCCGCCAACGGCCTTCATTAAAAAGAACAAACGGTAGTACAGAACTAGGCAAAAAAAGGGTTTAGGCCAGGTTTGGAATCAATTCCATTTCAAATCAGTCAATTCAGGCAGGTAACTGTTGAAGTTGAATTGATCCCAACCCTGGGTCAGTCCAGTTGACATTGTTGTTGTTTCCCCCAGGGGGGCGAGGAGCACCACGAGCCCCATGAGATGGTGGAGTGTGAGCTGTGTTCCACCCTGACCCTGCAGTTCAACAACCACATGAAGAGGCACCACCCGGGCTGCGGCCAGAGCGCTGGGAGGCGAGGGTACCGCTCCACCGGGGCATACGTGGACGGGTGGTTCGGAGGGGAGTGCGGGTCCGGTAGCCCCTACTACCTGCTCTGTAGCACCTGTAGAGAGAAGTACCTGGCAGCTAACCTGGGGGAGATTGGATCCAAACATGACCGGTGAGTAAGAAATGCACCTTATGCTTAAGGATGCCTTTTCGTGCAGGAGTCACACACACGCTCGCATATTGCTCTTTTTCATGGTCCTTCGAGCCGGATAGATGTGTATGCTTGTTAAAAGTACAACAACATTTCAGTCTGTCAGTTACTCCCAGGCATACTGTTCCTCTCTCCTCAGAATGAAAGGGCTTGCTTCTGATTTGATTGGACGACTGGACAGCACCTCCGATGGTAAGGATTTGACCCCAGGATTTTTCACAGGAAAAATGCTTTCTTCTGCTCTGTGAGTAATATGTTCAGAAGTTTAAGTGACTCCCCTTGACCTCTTATTCAAGATTTGAGTCATGCCTCAGTGAACCAAGGTTTTCTTCTGATAAATGTGCTCGGAGACAGTGAATCATCTGGTGAATCATATCCAGGTCCTCCTCGTAAAAGAGGTTTCTAACCTCAACGGTCTTTTCCTGGATAAATAAAGGTTCAATGAAAATATGAGTAAATACATTGAAAATAAATAAAGACTCATGGAGGTATCTTCTTCTTCCACCCAGAAGACTGGGAGTTGGGGCAGCTACACGACTGTGACCCAGACCGGCTGACTGGCCTGGAGGACTTTGGGGTGTTGCTGAGGCCTCTGGGTCTGAGTGAGAAGAAACTGGTGCCAGACCCCATTCCCTTCACAGAGAACGACCCGCTGGGAGCTCTGGTCAACAGCACCAGCAACCCTGACGGGTCCATGATCCAGAAAGGTACTGTATTTCACATGGAGCAAACTAGAGTTGCAGAAATCCCCAAATTGTACCAAAACTCCTTGGTTGGAGGATTTCTGCAATCAACAGGGAATAAGCTGCAAGGCAATCCTCCAACCTACAATCCTTCAACTGGGATTTCTGGAAAAAATTAGAGAATTCTGGTGAACGTTTTCAGGACTTTTACAACCCTACAGCAAACAATACAGGCCAAATGATGTGAAAATATTTTTTTAAAAGGCTCACATAGATTTTGTAATGTATTGTGTATCTTTGGTGTACAGGTGTGGTCAGCACTGACCCTAAGGGGTTAGGTCCCTCTGGCCGTCTGAGTCTGGGGGAGCAGGCAGCATTGCTGAGAGACCCTCAGGACAGACTGCAGGCTCTAAGGAGAGTGACCTCTACGGCCCAGATACTACTGGCGTACAGCATGGTGATGAGGGCACTCTCCCAGACATCCTCCAGGTTTGTTGGGTTGTTTATTTGGATCGATATCCCCACAATGCGGGTTAGCCTAATGTTCAGAGAGTCCAGCAACATTTTACATTTACATTTTAGTCATTTTAGCGGACGCTCTTATCCAGAGCGACTTACAGTTAGTGAGTGCATACATTTTCATACTGGCACCCCGTGGGAATTGAACCCACAACCCTAGCGTTGCAAACACCATGCTCTACCAACTGAGCTACACAGTGGCTACCCTCCAGGCTCCTCCTCTGATGAGGTATTTCAATACACATTTGCTACTGAAAACTAGCTTATTTCACCCACAACGTTGTTTTGTTAGTCTTATGAAACCTTTTAAATTGGTGTGAAACCAGTGACCTGCAAGCTTCTGTTATTGTTTTTCTGACAGGCCAAATGTCAGACTATTCTTCAAACAATTCCTGTGCCGTTGTTCTAGTGATGAAGTGATTTTAAAATGGTACGCATCATATGTTACAGTTGATAGCTCAGTATTAGAACACTACAGGGATGGGCTGTGATCTGTTACCTGTAGAACACTGCAGGGCTGTGATCTGTTACCTGTAGAACACTGCAGGGCTGTGATCTGTTACCTGTAGAACACTGCAGGGCTGTGATCTGTTACCTGTAGAACACTGCAGGGCTGTGATCTGTTACCTGTAGAACACTGCAGGGCTGTGATCTGTTACCTGTAGAACACTGCAGGGCTGTGATCTGTTACCTGTAGAACACTGCAGGGCTGTGATCTGTTACCTGTAGAACACTGCAGGGCTGTGATCTGTTACCTGTAGAACACTGCAGGGCTGTGATCTGTTACCTGTAGAACACTGCAGGGCTGTGATCTGTTACCTGTAGAACACTGCAGGGCTGTGATCTGTTACCTGTAGAACACTGCAGGGCTGTGATCTGTTACCTGTAGAACACTGCAGGGCTGTGATCTGTTTACCTGTAGAACACTGCAGGGCTGTGATCTGTTACCTGTAGAACACTGCAGGGCTGTGATCTGTTACCTGGAGAACACTGCAGGGCTGTGATCTGTTACCTGGAGAACACTGCAGGGCTGTGATCTGTTACCTGTAGAACACTGCAGGGCTGTGATCTGTTACCTGTAGAACACTGCAGGGCTGTGATCTGTTACCTGTAGAACACTGCAGGGCTGTGATCTGTTACCTGTAGAACACTGCAGGGTTTCCCCCTCAATGAATACAAGTTGTTCCCTCTATCACCCTCCCTCTCTTGTCTGTCTCTCTCTCCCTCCCCCCCTCCCTCGCTCTCTACTCCCCTCTCTCTCCCTCCCCTCTCTCTCCCTCCTCCCTCCCCCTCTCTCTCCCTCTCATCTCCGCCTCTCTCTCTCCTCCCTCTCTCTCTCTCTCTTCTCTCTCTCTCTCTCTACTCTCTCTCTCTCTCTCTCTCTCTCTCCTCTCTCTCTCTCTCCCTCCCCCTCTCGCCCTCTTCTCTCTGCCCCCCCCCCCCCCCCCCCCCCCTACTTTTATTAATTTTCTACTTCTCTCCCTCTCTTTCCCAGTGTGTCAGTGTGCCGTGCCTCTAGTGGACTGGAGGCCTTGGGCCTGGCAGACATCCGTATCCTGGTGCGTCTGATGTGTCTGGCAGCGGCGGGCCGGGTCCATGCCAGTGTTGACCAGCAGGGGGAGGCAGGGGGTAGCAGAGGCTGTGGTGGGGCTACAGAGAGAAGCAGCTCTGCCCTCCTCTCCTTCCTTAGCTCAGCTATAGGCAGCCTGGTCTCACACAGCCCCACAGCATACAGGGAGCTGGTGGACATCTGCACTCAGGTGTGTGAGTCTGTACTCTGGCTGGCTCCATATGTCTTAGACTGTCTATCAAGGTTGGGGTAATTCCGTTTCAATTCAGGAAGTAAACTTCAAATTCCAACTCCAATTTTAGTTGCATGTCTTACATTTGGCGTAGTCGGTAGGATATGGAATTTCAGTTTTCTTCTGGAATTGACCCCAACCTTGGTGTCTACATTTTTCCATCACCGTCTAAAGAATATATGGTGCTGTCATAAATGTAATCTTTCTCTACTAACCCTAATGTCACCCCTTGGTCCGGTGATAGGATCTGATGGCAGCTGCCACAGGGATGAACCTTGGTGCCATCAGTGATCCTGCACAGAGAGTTCGTCTGACTTCCACCCTGAAGAGGGCGCCACAACAAGACGTCACACCCCTCACACCTCCCACCTTCCTGGTCACACAGAGTCTGGTCTCCCTGCTCACAGAGAAGGGCATCCGCTACTGCTACACTCCAGACAGAACTGTTACCGAGCCGCATGAGTCTAAAGGTGAGAGGAAGGGACTTTTATGCCAAAGTCACAAAATAAGTTGTTGTGTTTGGTAAGGTAAAAAAAATAATGAAATCCAGGTAGTACATCCACATTGCACTCTGTAACATTTCCCCCCTACTGGACACAACCCTGGTTTAGAAACATGGAGCTGTAGAGAGGTTTGATTGATTGGTGCTACCTCATGACGGCTGTTGTGTTTCCCCGATTGGTCCAGGTCCAGACGCTGGTAGCCCATCTGCTGCTGTACCTCCTCCCCAGGCAGGGGCGAGAGTGGGACCCTCTGGAGCTGGCCAACGCCCTGGCTGCCTGTGCCCTGTCTGCCAGGCTGACCAGTAAACACCGTCAGTGGGCAACCCAGCAGCTGGTCCAGGCCCTGGCAGCCTCAGAGAGGCAGAGGGACAACCCCATCCGGCCTCAGACCTACAGCGACATGGCTGGAGACCTGAGGAAGTGTCCTCTGAAGAAGCTAGAGGGACATCACGGCAGGGTACGGGACTAAGATACTTAGGCTATTTCCCAATTTGCCTTTCCTCAAATATTCATATCCTCTCTCCTCACATCCTTCTGAAAACGCATTGAAGGAGACGGTCCGAGGGGAGGGACCTTGGACCATCTCCTCCAATGCGGTTTGAGGAGACGAGGAGAGAGGAAAGAGTAATTGAAAAAGCCCCAGTGAAAGTTATGCTTACTAATGAGGTTCCTATGATTTTAAGTTCCTGTTTGTTGGATACTGATGTTGACCTGGTGGTTGTTGTTGCAGGTGACCAGCTGTACGTGGAACAATGAGCAGGGTCTGTTGGCCACTGGAGCTCAGGACGGGACAGTCAGACTGTGGGACGTCAACCAGAACACTGCTGACCTGCAGTGCACACACTCCTGTAGCATCAGGTGAGGGAACACGCTAGATATCGCCATGACATACAGTATGGGTCAATACTTCAGAAATGCATCCTACTTTGAGGTAAGCACAGCTCGCATAAATGCAAGGTTACCACCCTGTTACTTCCACCAATGCAACCAATTCCGATCTGTGATTATTTCTGAGGAGGTTGGAAAAGAAGGATGCCTTTCTAAGGTATTGGAACAGGGACATGAAAGATGTGGTGCTGTTAGGAGTAGAGTTCATGACAATCCTGTCCTATTCCCCCAGTGATGACAGGCGGTGCTCTGAAGCAGCAGGTGGTGCTCACCTGGTTTCTGCTGTCTACTGGAGCTCAGGAGGTACCCTCCTCGCTGCCTTCCACAACAAGATCATCAACATCTGGACTGTCAACGGTATGTACAGTAGTAACTGGTCCCCCAACCTTTTAACCATGTTTGTAGTTCAGCAGAAGTTTTCATATGTTCGGATGCTCTGATGAAGGTCAACTGTGACCGAAGGATTGTTTCGGATGCTCAGATTTTTTTATTTATTTTTTTCACCTTTATTTAACCAGGTAAGCCAGTTGAGAACAAGTTCTCATTTACAACTGCGACCTGGCCAAGTTAAAGCAAAGCAGTGCGATTAAAAACAACAACAACACAGAGTTACATATGGGGTAAAACAAAACATAAAGTCAAAAATACCACAGAAAATATATATACAGTGTGTGCAAATGTAGCAAGTTATGGAGGTAAGGCAATAAATAGGCCATAGTGCAAAATAATTACAATTGGTATTAACATTGGAATGCTAGATGTGCAAGAGATGATGTGCAAATAGAGATACTGGGGTGCAAATGAGCAAAATAAATAACAATATGGGGATGAGGTAGTTGGGTGGGCTAATTTCAGATGGGCTGTGTACAGGTGCAGTGATCGGTAAGGTGCTCTGACAACTGATGCTTAAAGTTAGTGAGGGAGATAAGAGTCTCCAGCTTCAGAGATTTGTGCAGTTCGTTCCAGTCATAGGCAGCAGAGAACTGGAAGGAATGGCGGCCAAAGGAAGTGTTGGCTTTGCGGATGACCAGTGAGATATACCTGCTGGAGCGCATACTACGGGTGGGTGTTGCAATGGTGACCAATGAGCTAAGATAAGGCGGGGATTTGCCTAGCAGTGATTTATAGATGACCTGGAGCCAGTAGGTTTGGCGACGAATATGTAGTGAGGGCCATCCAACGAGAGCGTACAGGTCACAATGGTGGGTAGTATATGGGGCTTTGGTGACAAAACGGATGGCACTGTGATAGACCACATCCAATTTGCTGAGTAGAGTGTTGGAGGCTATTTTGTAAATGACATCGCCGAAGTCAAGGATCGGTAGGATAGTCAGTTTTACGAGGGCATGTTTGGCAGCATGAGTGAAGGAGGCTTTGTTGCAAAATAGGAAGCCGATTCTAGATTTAACTTTGGATTGGAGATGCTTAATGTGAGTCTGGAAGGAGAGTTTACAGTCTAACCAGACACCTAGGTATTTGTAGTTGTCCACATACTCTAGGTCATACCCGTCGAGAGTAGTGATTCTAGTCGGGTGGGCGGGTGCCAGCAGCGTTCGATTGAAGAGCATGCATTTAGTTTTACTAGTGTTTGAGCAGTTGGAGGCTACGGAAGGAGTGTTGTATGGCATTGAAGCTCGTTTGGAGGTTTGTTAACACAGTGTCCAATGAAGGGCCAGATGTATACAAAATGGTGTCGTCTGCGTAGAGGTGGATCTGAGAGTCACCAGCAGCAAGAGCGACATCATTGATACACATAGAGAAAAGAGTCGGCCCAAGAATTGAACCCTGTGGCACCCCCATAGAGACTGCCATAGGTCCAGAAAACAGGCCCTCCGATTTGACACATTGAACTCTATCTGAGAAGTAGTTATACTCCCGAGTGGCGCAGTGGTCTAAGGCACTGCATCGCAGTGCTAGCTGTGCCACTAGAGATCCTGGTTCGAATCCAGGCTCTGTCGTAGCCGGCCGCGACCGGGAGACCCATGGGGCGGCGCGCACAATTGGCCCAGCGTCGTCCAGGGTAGGGGAGGGATTTGGCCGGCAGGGGATGTAGCTCAGTTGGTAGAGCATGGCGTTTGCAACGCCAGGGTTGTGGGTTCGATAGAATAATGTATGCACTAACTGTAAGAGCGTCTGCTAAATGACTTAAATGTAAATGTAGTTGGTGAACCAGGCGAGGCAGTCATTTGAGAAACCAAGGCTATTTAGTCTGCCAATAAGAATGCGGTGGTTGACAGAGTCGAAAGCCTTGGCCAGGTCAGTGAAGACAGCTGCACAGTACTGTCTAATATCGACCGCGGTTATAATATCGTTTAGGACCTTGAGCGTGGCTGAGGTGCACCAATGACCAGCTCGGAAACCGGATTGCATAGCGGAGAAGGTACGGTGGGATTCGAAATGGTCGGTGATCTGTTTGTTAACTTGGCTTTCAAAAACTTTCGAAAGGCAGGGCAGGATGGATTTAGGTCTGTAACAGTTTGGATCTAGAGTGTCACCCCCTTTGAAGAGGGGGATGACCGCGGCAGCTTTCCAATCTCTGGGGATCTCAGACGTTACGAAAGAGAGGTTGAACAGGCTAGTAATAGGGGTTGCGACAATTTTGGCGGCTATTTTTAGAAAGAAGGGGTCCAGATTGTCTAGCCCAGATGATTTGTAGGGGTCCAGATTTTGCAGTTGATGAAGGTCAACTCTGACCGAAAGCTTGGCAAAAAAAAAGGGGTTTTCCTTTGCTCTTCATTAAATATGTTGAAAGCATTAAATATGTATCTTATCTGGGATTCTGATCAATGGTCTTTTAAATTAAAATAATCCCAAACTTTATAATTAATTTATAATCTCTCTGTTGTGGTTCATCCAGGAGCCCAGGGCCACATGGAGGCCCAGCTGTCCTGGGTGACAGCCCTCTCCTGGGTGCAGACCTCCAGCCCCTTCCCCTCCCAGGGTGGCAGCGTCGGGAGGGATGCCCAGCCAGAGAGCCTGTTGGTGGGCCGCCTGGACGGATCCCTCTGCTGGCTGCAGGTCACTGAAGACTTCACCATAGAGAGCACCGAGCTCACCCTCTGCCACAGGAAAGAATGTGAGTTACATTTATACTGTCTGACTGCTGATCTATTAAGTGGCTATTTTTAGTATTAGTATATAGAGGAAACAAGTGCTCAAATATAGCTGCCAGCAGACACAACATGGGTCCAAGCCAAGTAGCCATTAAGTAAGAAATGGCTTTTGTTTATGACAAATTGGTCAATGAGTAGTGTTCTCAGTGGTCATGGACTGGTTGATGTGTGATATCTTGCTCCTCTCTCTCCCCTCCCAGCTCCTCAGTGTGTGGCGTGGCACAGTGTGGACAAGCCCTTTGCTGTGGGTTACCCTGATGGGAAGATCCTACTGGCCACCGCTGGATCCTACGAGACTGAACAGCCACTAATACTGTCTGCCTTCCCTGTAAGTCAACGCACACTTTTACATCCATATAATTGTATAGTCATTCACAGGCCACTCTTTAACTAACTCTGTTGTGTCGCTACCATTGTTATCAACATTCTACAGACGCCGAAGCCATAGTGATGTTCTAAAGTAGAACGGGGGGCTAATGACTCTTTCGTCTAATTTACACTGTATGGGCTTTAGACAGATGGCAATATTGTCATTAGCTAGCAAAGTTTGTCAAAAATAGCTAGCGATGCTAACGTTAGCTAGCTAAAATCTGGAGGTCTCCCCTCAATCTTAGCTAGCTAGCTAGCTAGCTAGCTAATGTTCTACTGCATCTAAAGTACATCTGGCGACATCAAAATGATGACAAAAGGTTTTTCTACTAATTATTTGCCTTTTGAAATGTCATGATGTTTTCATGCCACAGGAATGCACTTCAGACCAAACTTCATCAGCGCTCAATGAGGAAGCGTTGAGTAGAATGCTCAGGTTGTCATCAGTCCTAAAACGAAAGTTCAAAACAATGTGACGCAACGTGCTATCCAGGAATACTTGAAAATACAATAAATGGTTTCAATTCAGCAAACTAAGCTGAAAAACAACACGTCCAGAAAATCCAAGATTGCAAGCAAAACATTTGTCAAATAAAGTCAGAATTATCCATTCACCTGATGTAGCCAGCCCTCCTCACGTCTCTCTCCTCTCCCCCCAATCTCTCTCTCTCTCTCTCTGCCTCAATCCGCCCCCCATCTCTCTCCAGGAGAGTGTCAGCCTCCTGCGCTGGGACCCCACAGGTCACCTCCTCCTCTCCACGGGCCGCTCTGAGGTGGTGAAGATCTGGGGGCGGGCGGGAGGCACCTGGATCACCCTCCACTCCCTGTTCCACACGGGCACCGTCAACACGGCCGAGTGGTGCCCGCTGCCGGGCAGAGGACCCGAACCACGCCTTATGATGGCTGTGTGAGTACCAGGGAATAAGGAGAGTGTATAAACAGAATAATTAGTATATTATTATTAGCTATATTTGACAGTGACAATGCACATTGATCAACGTTTCTGTATATATGTGTCAAATTTACCCAGCTCGCAAATGTAGTCCCTGTGAACCGTAGTCCTTGTAGACATCCGATGTTGTTATAACAGTGTTTTCAGCTCTTACTAACTTAGTCCCTTTATTTCCTCTCTCTTTTTTAGTGGGAGCCAGAATGGGCTTCTGAATGTGTGGACTCTGCCACAGGGGGGCACTAATGTGTCACTTCCTAAATTCCTGGGCAGCTCATCCAGTCAGGAGAACAACAGTGGCATCAAGGTCAGTACAGTCAGTGTCTTCTGTAGAGCTCAGTGGCATCAAGGTCAGTACAGTCAGTGTCTTCTGTAGAGCTCAGTGGCATCAAGGTCAGTACAGTCGGTGTCTTCTGTAGAGCTCAGTGGCATCAAGGTCAGTACAGTCGGTGTCTTCTGTAGAGCTCAGTGGCATCAAGGTCAGTACAGTCAGTGTCTTCTGTAGAGCTCAGTGGCATCAAGGTCAGTACAGTCGGTGTCTTCTGTAGAGCTCAGTGGCATCAAGGTCAGTACAGTCGGTGTCTTCTGTAGAGCTCAGTGGCATCAAGGTCAGTACAGTCAGTGTCTTCTGTAGAGCTCAGTGGCATCAAGGTCAGTACAGTCGGTGTCTTCTGTAGAGCTCAGTGGCATCAAGGTCAGTACAGTCGGTGTCTTCTGTAGAGCTCAGTGGCATCAAGGTCAGTACAGTCGGTGTCTTCTGTAGAGCTCAGTGGCATCAAGGTCAGTACAGTCAGTGTCTTCTGTAGATCTTAGTTATGACCGAGATAAGCGGCTTCGGTTATGTCTCCTTTCTTCTCCGATTTCCTCTGACACCTAAATGGAAACGGGAAGAAGAACGTTGTCAGTTGTCTTTGTGGAGAACAGAAATGTTTATCTCCTTCTAAGTCCAGTGACTCTTTTATTCACCGTGTCTTGATCTATGTGGTGTTTGCTTCCCTAGCGTGGCAGTGCCAAGTGTGTGTTCAGACTGAGTGGTCACATCACAGCAGTGAAGACCCTGTCGTTCTGCCCCAGTGGTCTGGCCCTGGTGTCTGGAGGGATAGGAGGAATACTCAACATCTGGTCTCTACAGGTGAGAGCTGTGGCATGATGGACTACACTACCAATAATGCACTGTGTAGCAAATCCGGTGATCAGTGATGTGTGTTCTAATCTTATCCTGGTTCCCCTCTCCTACAGGATGGTTCCATCCTACAGACGGTGGTGACAGGCCTGGGCTCAGTGGTCAGTACCACCTGGATACCAAACGTAGGGGTGGCCGCCTGCTCTGGGAGGTCAAAGGTTAGTCCAGTATGCCTTTCATTGCACTGGGCCTCAGGCTCGATCTCTTAAAAATCTGTCCTGTCCTCATCTCCCCCTTCATCTCCACTGATTGGACCAGACTTGACAGGTGCAAACAGAATGGTGCGAGCTTATCATTAGGCTGGCTTTCACCTGGTCACTTCTTTCAGATCAGTGCAGTTGAAAGAGACGGGGAGGAGATGAAAGGACAGGTTTTTAGACTGAGAAAGAGACCTAGGGAACAGGGTCTGATGTCTGACCTCCCCTCCAACAGGATGCGCTGCTGATCCGCTGTACGTCAGACTGGATCTCCCAGAACCACGTGTTGGCATCCTGCCGCACCGTCCTCAGAACACAGGGCATTCTGGGTCTGAACCGTGCGCCCTGCATGGCCGTCTTCCTGGAGAGACTTCCCACACTGCTGCAGGAGCAGTACAGCTACGAGAGGGTTAGTACAGCACAGCTAGTTAGTTATCTATTTAGTTAGTATGGCCCATGCATGGCCGTCTTCCTGGAGAGACTTCCCACACTGCTGCAGGAGGCTGGATAGCTTTACACTCCTACCCTTCCTCTGTAGAGGCTCTCCTAACGGCTTGTGACTTCACCATGCGCCGCACTGGGATTTCGGTGGATTCCAGAGGTTGTAACTTTATGGAAGCGCCTTTATGCGGGTTCTACTACAGGGAACGCTTGGTGGGTGTAATCCAGCCTTCGTTAATGCTGCTGAACTCAACAGACTGTCACTGTAGGCCCATTTACAGAGAAATGGCTCCTCTCTCTTTGCAAGGTTATTAAGCCCAAAGGAAAATCGTCTAATACAGTAGTTTTCCACCTCATTGGATCTCGAAGATTAATCAGTGTGTCTGTGTGTGTGGTGGCTGTGTGTGTGTGTGTGTGGTGGCTGTGTGTGTGTGTGTGTGGTGGCTGTGTGTGTGTGGTGGCTGTGTGTGTGTGTGGTGGCTGTGTGTGTGTGGGGTGGCTGTGTGTGTGTGTGGTGGCTGTGTGTGTGTGTGTGTGTGTGGTGGCTGTGTGTGTGTGTGGTGGCTGTGTGTGTGTGTGGTGGCTGTGTGTGTGGGGTGGCTGTCTGTGTGGGGTGTCTGTCTGTACATGTGTGTCTGCGCTTCTCTCTCTCTCTCTATAGAGTCACGTGACAGCAGGTGATCAGTTGGTCCACAGTGCCTTCCTCCAGAGTCTGGCCTCTCTGACCGTCGGCCTTTCCCTGGAACAGTACCTATGTCGGCCCTGCCGACCCCCCCACCACCACCACCACCCTGGCAGCCTCAGCCCCGACCACACACACTCCTGTCCCATGGAGTGGAGCTGGCTCCAAACCTTCTCCACCACTGTGAAGAGCGCAGAGGCCATCGCCAGGGGAACAGCGTTCCCAGAATCCTTCACTGTCCCAGAGTTCCAGCAGGCAGGAGGCACAGAACTCACCCAGCCCCTGGTGAGCAGAAAGCAGAGTCATACTGTAGCTTCCTCAGACTAGGATGGTGTCTGAAATGACACCCTATCCCCTATTATTGTGTACTACGTGGAGGATAGGGCACCTGGGAGTGTGTAGGGTTCACATATTGGAGAAACAGGCTAGCTGCCAGCGAAAGTGTAAAAATAAATACAAAATAAATATATATATTATGATATTATTTTTCATTTTATTTGTTCAACTTTCCATACATTTTCTGTGATGTATGGCAGCTCACACAGTTTGTTGATGCTCTTCTCTTCTCCTCTCCTCTCCTCTCCTCTCCTCTCCTCTCCTCTCTTCTCCTCTCCTCTCCTCTCCTCTCCTCTCCTCTCCTCTCCTCTCCTCTCCTCTCCTCTCCTCTCCTCTCCTCTCCTCTCCTCTCCTCTTCTCTTCTCTTCTCTTCCGCAGGACAACAGTAAATGGAGCTTCATGATGGATGAACAGCTCATGTCCTGGGCCACCACCAGACCTGAGGTAAGATTTCTGTCTCTAATACCATATCTGCATCCCAAATGGCACCTTATTCCCTATATAGTGCACTACTTTTGATCAGGGCCTATATAGGGCTCTGGTCAAAATAAATCCACTATATAGGGAAAAGGGTGCCATTTCTGATGCAGCCCATATCCCCTGAGGTAAGATTTGTCTGTAAAACATCCATGAAGTGCTTTGAAAGGCTGTATTACTGTATTTGACAGGATTGGCAGCAGGGAGGGAAGAGTGAGGTGTTTCTGTGGGGCAACGGGCGTCACGGACAGCTGGCAGACGCAGGGACCAACCTGATGGTGCCTACCATCACCCCCTCTCTGTCCCAGACACATCAGGTAGAGTAGAGAGAGACTGTTCATAACCCACTAATACACCAGGGTCATGTTCATTACAGCACACGTAGTGAGCATTGGTTATTCGACTGCTCCAGATAGTACTTTCCCTTCTTAGACTTCTGACATTTTGAGCTCAAAGAGTCTCTGTTGTTGACCTGTGATACTCTACTCTCTTCAGGTTGTGTGTGGGCAGAACTGTACCTTCCTGGTACAGGCCAACGGTACGGTGCTGGCTGTAGGAGAGGGTAGCTATGGGAGACTGGGCCAGGGCAACTCTGATGACCTCTATACCCCCACAGTCATCTCAGCCTTACAAGGTAACAACTTTATCTCAGGTTGATCCCTGACCTTTGACACCTTTGACCACTCTGTCCCCTTGTTGACCCCCCAGGCTACGTGGTGACCCAGCTGGTGACCTCTTGCGGTTCTGACGGCCACTCCCTGGCCCTGACGGAGACGGGGGAGGTGTTCAGCTGGGGTGACGGGGACTATGGGAAGCTGGGACATGGGAACAGTGAAAGACAGAGACGGCCCAAACAGGTGGAGGCTCTGCAGGGAGAGGAGGTGGTGCAGGTAGGACTGGAGATGGAGCTCACCTGACAGGTCACACCTAACATTACTGGGAAGTGATTATGAGTTGGCGCTAATCTGACAACAACAAGTTAGTAAGACCGCTCAAACAGATCTGGGACCAGCCTACTCATCTGACAGGTCACACCTAACATTACTGGGAAGTTAAATTAAGTTATATGAATCCCTCTTACTGTAGATTGCATACCCTTCATTGTATTTACATGAAATGCTTCATTCTAAGTGGTAGGCTAGCATGGATATTGGAACAGAGCCATTGACTGACTTATGTCTTGGTTTCATTTATCCTGAATAGTTTCTCTGTCTCTGTCATTCATCTCTCCTTTCCTTCACACAACAGTTGGCGTGTGGGTTCAAACACTCAGCGGTGATTACAGCAGACGGGAAGCTGTTCACCTTCGGTAGTGGAGACTCTGGTCGTCTGGGTCAAAGATCAACGTCCAACAAGATGCTGCCAGAGAGAGTCACAGCGCTGGAGGGATATCACATTGGACAGGTAACATCCATCATATCAGACAGGTAACATCCATCATATCAGACAGGTAAGATCCATCATATCAGACAGGTAAGATCCATCATATCAGACAGGTAAGATCCATCATATCAGACAGGTAAGATCCATCATATCAGACAGGTAACATCCATCATATCAGACAGGTAACATCCATCATATCAGACAGGTAAGATCCATCATATCGGACTGGTAAAATCCATCATATCGGACTGGTAAGATCCATCATATCGGACTGGTAAGATCCATCATATCGGACTGGTAAGATCCATCATATCGGACTGGTAAGATCCATCATATCGGACAGGTAAGATCCATCATATCGGACAGGTAAGATCCATCATATCGGACAGGTAAGATCCATCATATCGGACAGGTAAGATCCATCATATCGGACAGGTAAGATCCATCATATCGGACAGGTAAGATCCATCATATCGGACAGGTAAGATCCATCATATCAGACAGGTAAGATCCATCATATCAGAGAGATAAGATCCATCATATCAGACAGGTAAGATCCATCATATCAGAGAGATAAGATCCATCATATCAGACAGGGAAGATCCATCATATCAGAGAGGTAAGATCCATCATATCAGACAGGTAACTTCCATCATATCGGACAGGTAACTTCCAATCATATCGGACAGGTAAGATCCAGGTAAGATCCATCATATCGGACAGGTAACATCCAGGTAAGATCCATCATATCGGACAGGTAACTTCCTTCATATCGGACAGGTAAAGAGCTGATGATAACATGTTTGATTGTCTGTCCTGTAATCTGTGATGGCCTAAGAAACAAAAGGGTTTAAAACAGGGGTCTCAAACTCAGGGCCTGGCGTATACATGCTGTTTAAGTCTTGCTGGTGACATCCAATTTCCCCCTCATAGGATGAATAACCTTTATTGAATTCAATCAGGCCCATGCTCTGCTTTCTTTTGGCCCCCCAGACTAATATCTGATTCCTATTGCCAGTGGATCTCTGAAAGCTTTGATCAATGGTTACCTATATGTTGACGATGTCTTCCTCCCATTGTAACAAGGTGTCCTGTGGTATCAGCCACACCCTGGTGCTGTCGTCCGATGGGATGAGTGTCTGGGCCTTTGGTGACGGGGACTATGGGAAGCTGGGGACGGGTCCCTGCACTGTCAAGTCTTATCCTCAGGTAAGCTAACAGTGCTTCTCTCACGTTTCAACAACATAACCTTATTATACGTTATACTGTGTAGTATTGTGGGAGTTAATATTCATACTCATCATTTTTGACTTTGCAGAAAGTGGAGCAACTGTGCAACAAGGGAATCAAGAAGGTTGGCTGTGGGACCCAGTTTTCTGTTGTTCTGGCCAAAGATGGGCGTGTTTACACCTTTGGACAAGGTAATTCATGTAGTTTATCATTGGAAGCTACACAGCAGACTAGACTACAGTAGTAGGCAGACTATTTTTTTATTGTTATCGACCACCAGCTTTGCTTTTTGTGGTGCTGTTGGTTCTACAGCAGCTATATAATAACAGGTATCAGTTTCCCCACCTATTGTAATACATCCATATTAAAGTGCTCTCAAATACATTGATTTTGTGGTGCTTGAGCTAGAAATACATTTGACAGTATTTCCCAACCTAATGTAAAAATGTTAAGACCTATTTCCTTCCTTCCTTCCTTCCTTCCTTCCTTCCTTCCTTCCTTCCTTCCTTCCTTCCTTCCTTCCTTCCTTCCTTCCTTCCTTCCTTCCTTCCTTCCTTCCTTCCTTCCTTCCTTCCTTCCTCTCCCCTCAGAGCGGTTGATCGGCCTGCCAGACTCTCTGTTGAAGAACCACAACCGTCCCCAGGTGGTGCCAGCCCTGGAAGGGGTGTTTGTAGAGGACATAGCTTTGGGCTGTGAGCACGTCCTGGTCCTGTCGTCTACTGGAGATGTCTATGCCTGGGGCTGCAACTGTGAGGGACAGGTAGTAACACAGCTTCTCTACTTATACCACAGTATTAGATGACTTCTCCATTCATCTTTCCTCAATTCCTTGCGTCGTCTCTCCTCGCCTCCTTCCCAAAACTCATTTGAGAAGAAGGTCTGAGAGGATGGAGCTTGGACCGTTTCCTCCTATTGCGGTTGAGGAGGAGGTGAGGAGATGAGATGTGAGGAATCGCGGAAAGACTGAGATGGAGCCATACAGTAGTGCTGCTGTATAGGATTCACCTCTCATTCAGAATGTGACTTTCCACTAAAGTCAGTCTTTGTTGCGTGTTGACCTGTGTTTCAGCTTGGCCTGGGTCATTCCAGCCCAGTGAAGGAGCCCACCCTGGTGACAGCCCTACAGGGGAAGAACATCAGACAGATCTCTGTTGGTCGCTGCCACAGCTCAGCCTGGACCACGCCCTCACCCTCCGCCAAAGCCTCAGGTACACACACACTGATGGCATGCCTCAGCTCTATGTGCTTGGAGACCAGTATCTCGGCAGATGTTATCCACAATGTCTCCTGGGGTTGGACATTCAGTAGTCCACATTCCAGGACTGTTACCCGTCTGTCCTCTTCTTCATCTTCCATTAACAGTGTCTCTCTTCTCCAGGTGCCTCAGCCAACCTCCAGCTGGGTCTGCCCCAGTCTGTCCCCCCCCAGTATAACGCTCTGAAAGACTGCAGCCCTGACGTCCTCAACACCCGCCTCCGGGTGCTCCACCACTTCTCTGACCTCATGTACAAGTCCTGGAGGCTGCTCAACCTCCACCCCAGGAACCAGGTAATGAACAAGCTGCTCTCAACCTCACATTATCTCTGATGGATGTCAGGGGGAATGAGTCACACAGTCTTACCTTACGTCTCATGTCTTACCCGTTACCCGGTCTGTCTGTCACGCATGGACACACACACACAGCTGTTTCTATGTTTACTGTGTCTTATCTAGATTTAGATGTCTTCTGTGAAGTATATTAAGACCTTGTGATGATGCACATTAAAAACAGTTTAACCTGACTTGATGTTTCTCTCTCTCCTCTCTCCCTGTCTCCAGGTGTCTGCATCTCGCTACAGCTCAGGGACAGCAGCCATCGTCCAGGGCCAGCTGAGAGGCCTCCTGTCGCCCAAAGTCAACACTCTACCACTAGTCAGATCAATAGGGAGGACCATGACCCAAGGCAAGACCTACGGACCCCAGATCACCGTCAAGAGGATCTCCACCAGGTAATGAAGCCTTTAAGGATTACAGACACATCCATTGTTTCTGAGCAGGTGCTGGATATCACAAAATGTTCAATAAAAGGTGAAAAGAGAATCTCTACTGCATTCTACACTGAGTATACAAAACATTAGGAACACCTGCTCTTTCCATGACATAGACTGACCAGGTGAATGCAGGTGAAATCTGTGATCCCTTATTGATGTCACTTGTTAAATCCACTTCAATCAGTGTAGATGAAGGGGAGGAGACAGGTTAAAGAAGGATTTTTAAGCCTTGAGACAATTGAGACATGGATTGTGTATGTGTGCCATTCAGAGGGGGAATGGGCAAGACAAAACATGTAAGTGCCTTTGAATGGGGTATGGTAGTAGGTTTGTGTCAAGAACTGCAACGCTGCTGGATCTTTCACGCTCAACAGTTTCCCGTGTGTATCAAGATGGGCCAGCATTCCTGTGGAACGATTTCAACACCTTGTGGAGTCCATGCCCCGACAAATTGAGGCAGTAAATTAGGGCAAAATGGGGTATTTTTATAGGTAATGCCACACTAGAAAAACGAGACATTTCATTTAGAAGAAGAAGAAGAACTTTATTGTCCATTTCTTTGTGGAGAACGAGAATTTGTATTTTAACCTTTCAACCCGACCCCCCAATGGCACACTCACACCCATGCACCCTGCGGGGTTGGAAGAACAAGCAGTTAGCAGTGCAGCACTCCTGGAGCAGTTAGAAGCTTCTGCCCTTCATGATGAGAAAATAACAAAAATCTGCATTACGCAGTGGATGTTGATCCCCTGGTGTTCCATACTGAAGTTACACAGTGGATCCTGATCCCCTGGTGTTCCATACTGAAGTTACACAGTGGATCCTGATCCCCTGGGGTTCCATACTGAAGTTACACAGTGGATCCTGATCCCCTAGTGTTCCATACTGAAGTTACACAGTGGATCCTGATCCCCTGGGGTTCCATACTGAAGTTACACAGTGGATCCTGATCCCCTGGTGTTCCATACTGAAGTTACACAGTGGATCCTGATCCCCTGGGGTTCCATACTGAAGTTACACAGTGGATCCTGATCCCCTGGGGTTCCATACTGAAGTTACACAGTGGATCCTGATCCCCTGGGGTTCCATACTGAAGTTACACAGTGGATCCTGATCCCCTGGGGTTCCATACTGAAGTTACACAGTGGATCCTGATCCCCTGGGGTTCCATACTGAAGGTACACAGTGGATCCTGATCCCCTGGGGTTCCATACTGAAGTTACACAGTGGATCCTGATCCCCTGGGGTTCCATACTGAAGTTACACAGTGGATCCTGATCCCCTGGGGTTCCATACTGAAGGTACACAGTGGATCCTGATCCCCTGGGGTTCCATACTGAAGTTACACAGTGGATCCTGATCCCCTGGTGTTCCATACTGAAGTTACACAGTGGATCCTGATCCCCTGGGGTTCCATACTGAAGTTTCACAGTGGATGTTGATCCCCTGGTGTTCCATACTGAAGTTACACAGTGGATCCTGATCCCCTGGGGTTCCATACTGAAGTTACACAGTGGATCCTGATCCCTTGCGGTTCCATACTGAAGTTACACAGTGGATGCTGATCCCCTTAACATGTTAATTGTAACATGTTAGTTGAAGATGATTGACATACATTGCCCTTGGGGTAGCCTCCCATGCATTGCCCTACAAGGCTGCATTTTAGTTGCCGATGATGATTGATTTTAGTAGTTCTCAATGATTAACAGTAAAAATGCCCATTGTCCCCCGCACCACAGGGGGCGCTCCAGCAAGCCCATCTTTGTGCAGATCGCCAAGCAGGTGGTCTCACTGAATCCCCTGGAGCTGAGGCTGCCCTCCAGGGCCTGGAAGGTCAAGCTGGTTGGGGAGGGGGCTGACGACGCAGGGGGAGTATTTGATGACACCATCACAGAGATGTGTCAGGTAGGCCCTGATTCAAGGTCAGCTTATTTTGTACGAAGATGCCAATTCCATTTCTACTCAGTAAATTCAGAAACTTAACTGAAATTCTAATGTAATTTATTAATGACCTTTCATTGAGGTATATTGGAATTTCAGTTCACTTTCTGAATTCACTGAATTGAAATAAAATGGATCTCAACCCTGCTCACTGTACGTACGTGTTTGATGTGAAAAGATTAATATGGATGTCTTGCTGCGACATGCTCCCTTCTCAGGAGTTGCAGTCTGGTGTGGTTGATCTGCTCATCCACACCCCCAACAGCTCCACTGACGTGGGAAGTAACACCGACAGGTACATCATGAATCACTCCTGAGACGCTCTCTGCTATCCACATGGTCTCATGTTCTTTGTCTTGATATTCGTTTTTCATGGTAAAGCCATCGATCTTACCGGCTGTGAGTTCCTTTAAATCAAAGCTCTGCCTCCTACCATGTGCATAGTGAAGCAATTGGCCTGGGACCAGTTGCATTAAACATCTTAAAGTTAATTCCCACCTTATCTTTTTCCTTAACGTTTCTGTAACTTTAAGTCAGTTGCACAAAACATTAAGTTGAATTTTCCCCTTTAAAGTCAAAAAGTTAAGGGTGCCTTAAGTGCTTCATTCAGTATGGATATCAATGTAAACGGCATTAAATCTTGTCACGTTTTGTGGAGGTGAATGTTGCTTTCCTCTGCCCTGGTTGCAAAAGGAAAACATCCACCAGCTAGCTAGGTATATACAGTATCTAGCTAGCTACTTAGCTAAACAATGGAAGGTGCACAATCCATGGCTACAAGGCTAGCTGGCTAGCTAGCTACCTACTCTGTAAGTTAGCTGGACGTGCTAGAAAGGAATAGAAACAAGTTGAGAAAAAAAGGTACCTAAAAGAAACGTGTTTTATTATCTTCTGAATCAATTTGTTTTTCATGTCTTGAATATAGAAGTTGTATTTTGCGATCTCCCTAATTTAATGCAATCACTTTGACGAGGGGTTCAGTCAGTGGAGGTTGTCTCCATGGTAACCAGAGACTCTTTCTGCTGTGTATATGCCTTCAAACTATTGTAAAACCCTTAAGTATGCCCTTACCTAAGGAAATGTTTGAGGGGCTCTATGCAACACCCTTACATTTTTTTTCCCTCGGGTAAGGGAAAATGATTCCTTAAAGGAAACACTTAAGATGTTTTATGCAACCAGGCCCTGTCCCTGAGAAGGTTTCTGCTTTTAATGACGTCCTTTCAACCGGTTTTGCCCACTGGGGTCTTGTGTCTCCTGGGGTTTTATTGGATTATGTGGCGTAATGACGTCATTTCAGGCACCTTTGCCTGCTGGGAAAGCTCCTACTATGTGTGAAGTGAACCAATAGGCCTTTCCTGTCTTGTTTGTCTCCTGGAGTTTTGGTTGAACAATCTGATTCTAATTCCCCCTGTCAGGTTCCTGCTAAACCCAGCAGCTGTCTCCGAAGACCACATGGTCCAGTTCCGTTTCCTAGGCATCCTGATGGCGGTGGCCGTCCGCACCAAGAAGCCCCTGGACCTGCAACTGGCCCCCTGGGTGTGGAAGCAGCTGTGTTGTATCCCCCTGGGGGGGCCGGACCTGGAGGAGGTGGACCTGCTTACTTACCGCGCCCTGCACGGAATCCTGCACCTGGACAACAGCGGCATCACAGAGGACAACTTCCACGTGGTGAGGGATGACGTGATACATACTGGGTCGTTTCCCAGACAGAGATTAAGCCTAACTAGTTCTGGACTAAAAAGCTATTCATTTGCACTGGGTATTCTCTATTGAACATGCTTTTTAGTCCATGACTATTGGCTTAATCTGTATCCGGGAAACCGGTTTATAGAGATGTAGCTAGATACCGCTCTTTGCTTGCTTTAGCCAGTGGCATGTTCAAACTGGCTTGCATCTCCATGTTTGTGCTGCAGCCATGTACCGTGCAGGGATGTCATCTTTCCGGACTATTTAGCCATTTCTCTTTTTAAGTTTATTTTCATACGCCATTAAAATGGATCACGTCTCTTGACTGTGTCCTGAGAGTTATGTGTAACCCTCATGTCCTTTCTCTCTGTCTCCAGATGATTCCTCTGGACTCGTTCATGGCCCACAGTGCAGATGGCAAGCTGGTGCCAGTGGTCCCTGGGGGGGACAACATCTCTCTCACCTTCTCCAACAAGAGTGACTACGTAGAGAGGGCTCTGGACTACCGGCTGCACGAGATGGACAGACAGGTATCTCTTGTTGTTGTTGTACGCTGCTGTATCGTCATTGTGCTGTGTCTGTACCCGGCTGTTGTGATGGTCACCTGTTGTGACTGTTTTTTTTGCGGGGGCTGTTGTTGTTTACCTGTAGATAGCAGCGGTGCGAGAGGGCATGTCCTCCATCATCCCGGTGCCTCTCCTCTCCCTCCTCACGGCACGGCAGCTAGAACAGCTGGTCTGCGGTCTGCCCGAGGTCTCCGTGGAGATGCTCAAGAAAGTAGTCCGATACCGCGACATCACAGACAGCCACCAGCTGATTGGCTGGCTGTGGCAGAGCCTGGAGGAGTTTGCCAATGAGGAGCGGGTTCTCTTCCTGCGCTTCGTGTCCGGCAGGTCCAGACTGCCCTCCAACCCCGCTGACATCACTCAGAAGTTCCAGATCATCAAGGTTGACAGAGTAAGTGCTTTGAGTGACATTCATCCCTAGCCTGGTCCCAGATCTGTTGGTGCCGTCTTGCCAATGACCATAGGAGTTAGCAAGATGACACAAACAGATCTGGGACCAGGCTAATTAATCAGGCTAGTTGTATTGTATATACAATATACAATATTTGGGTCATCTGTGTACTCCACTCTGAGCCCTTTTTTCACTACTTAATAAAATGTGAAAACAACCCTCCTTCCCTCTTATCCCCAGCCTGTGAACGGACTCCCCACAGCCCAGACGTGTTTCTTCCAGCTGCGTCTGCCTCCCTACACCAGCCAGGCCATCCTGGCCGAGAGGCTGCGCTACTCCATCCACAACTGTCCCTCCATCGACATGGACAACTACATGCTGTCCCGAAACACCGACCCGGCCGACGGATCCGACACAGAGTATTGATGATACTGGTGATGCGGATAGTGTTGATGGTAATGATACTGAGTACTGATGAGACCCTGCTCAACAACAACGTCAACAACATTACTTGAAATCTCAAAGCGTTTGTCATGTCATTTCTTCTTCCTCATAGCTTCTTTCTTTTAGTGTTTTTGGTGCGATAGTCAGTGCTAGCCTCTGGCTCTGGGCTCTGTGTGGCGCTCGTTGAATTAACCCAGTGGCTGAATGAGGTGATCTCTCTATCGCTCGCTCTGAGGGAAAACGTTTTAGTTTTTAAGCCTTTTGTTTTGAATTCACAGTTTCTGCATGGTACAGAATATTTGTTAAAGAATAACTTCGTTTAAAGAGTGCATCGTTTAAAGAGAGTGCATAATCTACTGAGATGTATTTATGTGGGAGAAATCTGTTGCCGTTACAGGCTGAATAACCTTTATACTACAGGAAATAGGAGTAATATGACTATTGTACGCAGAAAGAAAAAGGCTGTGAATAATAATAATAATAATAGGTCAAAGTTGGCAAACACGAAGGCCATCTTTCATTCAGACGATGACACCATAGCCTCCTGGCTGGAGTCAGTTACACACACACTCACATGTGGTGTTTAGCTAGGTTTATTTAATTTATCTGCTGTGCTCTAAACCCGCCAGTGAACTGCTGGCTGGGCTGGGAAATGTTACCTTTGATCTTGGTTAGTCTAGTAGTGGGTAGGTTAGCTGTTAGGGCTGTTCGGCTGTCTATACTACCACACCATTTACAATGAAGCAATGTATTGGGCATGCATTCTAACTGGTACACTAGTGTGGATATTGGAATGTAGCCTACATTAAAGATATATAGCCTATACTCTATTGACCAGAGTATACTGTGTAATGTCACTCTCACTGGCAGAGCTGTGTCTGAGAGAGAGAACAGAGCTGTGTCTTATAGAGAGAACAGAGCTGTGTCTTAGAGAGAGAACAGAGCTGTGTCTTAGAGAGAGAGAACAGAGCTGTGTCTTAGAGAGAGAACAGAGCTGTGTCTTAGAGAGAGAACAGAGCTGTGTCTTAGAGAGAGAACAGAGCTGTGTCTTAGAGAGAGAGAACAGAGCTGTGTCTTAGAGAGAGAGAACAGAGCTGTGTCTGAGAGAGAGAACAGAGCTGTGTCTTAGAGAGAGAGAACAGAGCTGTGTCTTAGAGAGAGAACAGAGCTGTGTCTTAGAGAGAGAACAGAGCTGTGTCTTATAGAGAGAACAGAGCTGTGTCTTAGAGAGAGAACAGAGCTGTGTCTTAGAGAGAGAACAGAGCTGTGTCTTAGAGAGAGAACAGAGCTGTGTCTGAGAGAGAGAGAACAGAGCTGTGTCTGAGAGAGAGAACAGAGCTGTGTCTGAGAGAGAGAACAGAGCTGTGTCTGAGAGAGAGTACAGAGCTGTGTCTGAGAGAGAGAACAGAGCTGTGTCTGAGAGAGAGAACAGAGCTGTGTCTGAGAGAGAGAACAGAGCTGTGTCTTAGAGAGAGTACAGAGCTGTGTCTGAGAGAGAGAACAGAGCTGTGTCTGAGAGAGAGAACAGAGCTGTGTCTGAGAGAGAGAACAGAGCTGTGTCTGAGAGAGAGTGATAAAATGATGATGATGATAATGCGGTCCCAAATGGAACCTTATTCCCTTTATAGTGCACTTGTTTGAACCTGTACCCAAAGTAGTGTACTATATAGGGAAGAAGGTGCCATTTGGGATGGAGACTAAGTCAGAGTCCCAAACAAGCCTCAATCTGTGTCCATATAGACTACCAACTACAGTAAAATACAATGTATCGTCTTGGATGAATGTAATGTCCATCAATGCCACCTAATAAACAATGCACTCGACAGATTTAAAAATTGCCAAAACTTGACTGTACTGTGCTATGTTGCTGCGTATTTATAAATGGGTTTGTGTTTTTGCAGTTTGTGAAAAGTGTAGTGTTTAAATTGCAGCGCTTTCTCCATGAAACGATGTACAGGGATGTGATGTGATGGTCGGTTTTTGAAACGCATAGGTCAAAGCTATAGACAGAACACTATTGTAGAGTTCTGAATTACATGCTTTAGTTTTTTTTTTTGCTTGGCCCAAAATACTAGAGCATGAACTCTTGGAGAGAGACAAAGACCCTCCCAGACTTCTGACTCTTGGAGAGAGACGTCCCAGACTTCTGACTCTTGGAGAGAGACCTCCCAGACTTCTGACTCTTGGAGAGAAAGACCTTCCAGACTTCTGACTCTTGGAGAGAGACCTCCCAGACTTCTGACTCTTGGAGAGAGACCTCCCAGACTTCTGACTCTTGGAGAGAAAGACCTTCCAGACTTCTGACTCTTGGAGAGAAAGACCTTCCAGACTTCTGTGTCGAGGGCAAGGTGTCAGTGAACTACTGACTGTGTGCTGTGGATTACAGTAGCATATAGCTACATTATTCTACTTTTTAAAAGGTGTTTCTTCCCTTAAAGATGTTGGACTCGTAAAGCTTTGGACTACATTAAGAAAAGCTTCGGGATAAACAAAACAGGATGTAAGCTAAAAGTTGTATTAAAAAGGTGTCATTATTGGTTGTTTATGTTGTCGCACTTTATAGACCTGTATAAATTGTTGCTTGAGCAAAGAAAAATATATTAAAGGGGATTTCTTGCAGAACGTCGTAATTGAATATCCTGTTCCTAACCCCCTGGAATACTGGAGTGTAACTTTTTCCTCATGCCACATCAAATCTTCTAGTCTGAAATGTAGATAAAATGAGAACCTGCAATACCACTCTTTCAGGGATGAACTGTGCGACACTTTCGCAAAATAACAGCAATCCTCAATTAAGAGGATATGAAGCTATATGAAAATAATAAATTATGTTACTCCATAGATGTGCTGTAATGATATAGCCTAGTTTGAGTGTTTTGATTTGATAGATATAGCATTTGTTGTACTTAGTATTTAAGGCGGGGAGGAATGGTATACAAATACTTTTTCTGTTGGACTGTTTCATTTAAGAGAAGGCAGTATTATGTAGATTAAACCATGTGTTTAAATATGGGCTTTGGTGTCATTTTTTCAGTCTCAATGCTGGCCTCTTGATAGGCCGTGGATCGACAGTTAAAGTCTACTATTATGATTAGACTAACCCTGTGCCACATTTCCCAGTCGTAACGGGATAGTTTTCTTTAGAAATTGTTAGACTTTATTTGGACAATTCCCAGAGTCCGAGCAAATCAGACTGTAAATAATGTGTTCTGTATTCTGCTTCTACCCCATAGAAATAGAATGGGGAATCATTCTAATTCTATGTTCTACCCTGATGCAAGGGAGTTATTTCCATATTTTCTAGGAAATCAGGAAAATAACTGTAGACATTTGACGGACCTGTCTCCGTCTGTACTATGTGTTTGCCTTCAGGCTGTAGACACAACAGGGAAGCTTTAGCTCTTTTGATTTTATTTTTGTGATACTAGCATCGCTGTCTTGTAGAATGTGGGATTTTCAAGGTGGGACCACACTGCTGTATTCTATTCTGAAATTCTTCTTCAATACTTGACTGGAAGACGGAAAATATATCACTAAGAAGTTCATTTTTTACGTCAATAGATTATATACATTCATTGTGAAATTAAGTGTTACAGACGATGTATGTAATGAATCCCTCCATTCTCCGGTCCCAACCATAACATGTCGTCACGGTTGCTTAATTTAACCACCAGACTGCTCTGCACTACAAATGTATGACAATATCAAACCTGTTGTAAGATGCAGACATGAGTAAGTGTGTGATGCAATGCATCTGAAAGCTCCTCTCCAGTACTGTAGCATGCTTTGCATGCAGAAAGATCAGGTCGATTGCAGAGCAGCTCTTAGTTCTTCTTGCCCCCCTGTGATGATCAATCATTTGAGGAATGGTGCTTGGCAGAGGCCCAATGAGAGAAGAGGAAGATGATAGAGATTATTATGGGTATCCTTAAAGTGCTGCTATGAATCATGGGTAGGGCAAGGGCTAGGCCAGGTAGGCCTGTTTAGATAACTGAGCTAAGGTAATGTTGTCCTGAAACCATCATCTTAATGTAGTGTCATTATGGACAGTAAAGCTTTATGGACAAATAGCCTATGAAGGATATGTTTTTTTTTTTACATGGAATTTGCATAGCTACAATTGTCATTGTTAGTATAGTCAACGTTCAACTCCTGTAGACTAAAGGGCTGTTCTCCTCCGACACAGCTCTCCATTAAAGGTGCTTGCTAGTACAGGACTAGGCTTAATCCGTGAAACCGGCCCTAATTGTGTTACTCTGAATCAGCACAGCTGAAGGTGCATCTCTGTGATTTGTCTGTTGCTATGTGAGAGCAGAGAGCGGTAACGCTACGTCTTCTGTTCCTTCTCTACCGTGACCTTATTGCCCATCTGTTTCGGTGTGCGTGCAGCCCAGCAGGCCGTTGTGCAGAAATCTCAGAGTCGCCAGTAAAGTAACCTAGTGGTGCAGCTGGGATGGGAGTGGACTGTTTAGTCATCAAACCCAGTACTGTATAAATAGCACCATCCATCTATCAATGAAATTAGAGGAACACAAGTATAGAATATAATAAAGTCCATTTGTGTTCTAGTCTAGATAATAATATTGCTAGATTGGATGTTGATAGCGTACTATCTAGCAAGGAGCTAGACCACATGGTGTAACATGAGTTTAGGGTAACATTGTCCAGGTAACCTACTCTTCCCCTTCTGGAGCTGGGTATAACCATGGGTATAACCCTGGGTGTTCATGTAAATGAAAAGGAAACGGGAGGTGCTATCTGAACCAATAAGAAAGACTTGTTTTCGTTAGGTCTGAACACGACCCAGGATAAGCACTACCCTCAAATAGCCTCTTTCCCTCTTGAGCAGACTGCACAGACTGCCCACCTGGTTCTTCACACAGAGTGGATTGTCTGTCTGTCTGCCCTGAGATAAAGTGGGATTTAGGCCCGATCCAGACGTAAAAGGTTTTGCAATACACAGACAGACTGAGAGATGGATA